ACGTTAGCGGTTAGCTGTTTATGCTATGCTAGCTGTTGGCTACTTAACATTAACAAACTGGATTCCGCTGTAAGAAAGCTGTGAAACTTTACATTAAACTTGGCGACAACACTGTGACACCCCGCTGCATGTTTATGTGTAATTCTCCCGTGTGGAGACGAGAGGTGGAGCGGCAGCACTGCAATAAGCTGTAAGCTAACGTTAGCAGCCACCTTGTTAAACCAGGTTTGGGCGCAACATCTTGCAAGAAACAGCATCTCAGGGCTTCTTAACATTTAACAACCTATTAATGATGCAAACTCAGCTAACTAGAAGAAGAAACGTAACCTTAAATACAAAATAAAACATTCACAAACTAAGGATTATCTAAATACATGTTTAACTCCATTACAGTTGCAGGACTCACCAGATCTCAAGTCTTCTGTTCTTTGTTGACGTCCCGATGCTCATATTTAACGTGTAGATGTAAAACGATCCCGATATTAATCCATTAATCCATAAACTCCTGCAGCTCCGAGCCGGAGCTGGAAAGGCGCCGGTGTGAAAGGGGCAGACAGCTGTAGCTCCGTCCGCAGGAGGAGAGGAGACCCGCTCTAACTGACGTGAAAGTTTCAAATGTGAACAACAGGCGCGGGCAGTTCTCATTGGCAGGTTTCTTCGATGACGTTTATATTAACCAATCAGGAGTGTTGTGGACTCATTCCAAACATGCCTGACTTGTCTGCCGTGTTATGGCTGAATTCCAATTCAAGTGCCGTAGTTCTGGCTGTCGGCCAGAATCCGAAAACCATGCACATTATACTGCATGAAAGACTAAGGCTTATTACCAGGTGTGCACATAACTTTTTGAGTGAGTTACTCAGATGAGTACCAGGAGACAGCGTTTGGTACTCACCCCACATGAAGCGTGGTGTTAATAAGTGCAGTCTTCCTCACTGTCCTCCTCAGTGTCTCCTTCACTGTCCTCTATTTACACTTCTTGCATGCTAGATGATGAAGATGCACCTCCCTGTCTCTTTGTAAGCCTCCAATTTGCTTTCTCCAAAACTTGTTGCCAAAACTGTGAAGTCCTTGCATTTCCTGAGGCCAAGTTGAAGGATCAAATACTAAGAAATTATCACATGACTTAAAGTCATATCTGATTTCAGAGGTGGGAAGTAACAAAGTACACTTATTCAAGTACTGTACTTAGGTACAATTTAAGATACTTGTAGTTTACTTGAGTATTTCTATTTTATGCTACTTTGTACTTCTACTCCACTACAGTTCAGAGGTAAATCATGTACTTTTCTTCCACTACATTTATTTAATACCTTTAGTTACTTTACAGATGTGGATGAATGATGTGAAAATATAATCAAGTGTTAAATCAGACTTTAGTTCCACCTGGAGTAAATCCACAAGCTACCCTGCAGTATACAAAGTCATTCAAACTAATTTTTAAACACTTTAATGATCAATAATTATAAAACATATCATATACATTATTATGAAATGGACCAATCTGCAAAATGACTACTTTTACTGTCGCTACTTTAACTAGATTTTGATGATAATACTTTTCTAATTTTACTTGAGTAACACTTCTTCCACCTCTGTCTGATTTCAAACTCTTCCATTAACAGCCTGAGTAAGTTTGCAGCTGTGTGTTTTACTCCACTTTGTTGTAAATAAAACTGCAGCAGCTTGACCACAGAGCGTGAACGTTGTGATCAGCTGATTTTGCGCAGTTCTCCAGTGTGTGCGCGGGGCACAGAATGTGCACAGGGGAGTCTCCCACCGCAGCCAGTTGACGTAGTTTTGGTACAATTCTGTTGTACACACCGACGTTAACAGCAGCTCCGTCTGTGCACACGGCGACCAACTCTGTCGTCCAGTGATCTAAGCCTCTGCCTCCTGTGAAGCTTCACAGGTCCGTCGGTTATGTCCTGCGCGGCACGGCCAGCACCCAGTTCAATCAGTCATAGAAAGTCTGAAGATTTTAGCAGGGAGCGAAACGGCAAAGTGGCTGCTTAATGTCTTTGTTTTTTTTGGACATGTCTAATAATTTACTCCACTGAGTATTGACAAGAAACATGTGTAGGCGAAATATGTGTTTTGTTTTGATGACCTATCAGGTACGCAAAGGCGCGTTGTGACACAAGTGACGTTACGCATTTCAGATTGTTGCCGCGCATGCGTACCTGCGTACCAGTTATGTGCACCCCTGCTTATTACTGTATATTGACCAATGGGAAAAAAAACACAGCAACAGAACACATCAATAAAACAAGGACAACTGTGACTTATTGTTGAGTAAATAACAGTGTGTGTTTTAAACCTGGGTCCTCCCTGCAGAGATTTCTCCACTTTCTAAGATTTTTATTTTTTTTAATGATATTGTCAACTGTAGATGTTTACAATATAGTAAGTTAGGAATTTAATGAAAACATATTTATTTACTTTTGTTTCAACATTGGATATTTTGTGTTTGTGGTGGATTCAATCGAATATTGAGAAAATGATTTATGTAAAAATGTTTTACTTTACATTTATTTAGTTTGACGCTTTTTTTTACAGTTTTATGTTTACCTTAAAATTACAAAGAAATATCTTAAAGTCTTATAATAGTAATACACTTTTATATTACGAGTTACATATTTAATTACAGATAATACTTTTTATTTTACGTACATCTGCATGTATTTTCTGAAAGTGCAAAAATACTGTAAATATTATATAGTAAATTTACTGTAAAAAAAAATGAAATAATCGTTATTTGTTGTTATTGTCAAAATACTTAAAATAATGTTTTGGATTGTTAATTTATAGTTAATATCTGTCATTTTACAGGATTTTGCAAGTTATTTAAAAAAACATGATAATTACTATAAAAATTTACAGTTATTTCCTGTAAAATTACGATCTTTTTTTACAGTGTACTACACTACTTCAAAGTGACCTCAAAATGAATCAAGACATCCCTTCACTCTACTAAACAGAGTGCATCCTTTGTGTATATTTCCATCAACACATCAACCTGTACTGTATGTTGTATTTCTTTGTGTTTATGTGTATCAATCTGTTTCATACTACAGAGCGAGCTGCATGCTGTTATCTGTGCTGGGTTTAACATCCCATCAGCCTCCTGTCAGCTGCTGGTTCAAACCCTCTGGTGGCTGCTCACACAAACTGCTCAGGGCAAACTGCACACAGCCTGACATCACAAACTGTACCCATAAACACTTTTAGGATCCACATCCAAGAACCAGGGGCCTTTCTCATTTCACTAATTTCCCCTCCTCAACTCCTCAAATCCTCGGTCCTCCGGTAGTTGTTTTGCATGGGCCCCTGGCCGGCTCTGGGCCCCAGTGCGTTGCACCGGCTGGACCGGCTGGACCGGCTGTACCGGCGATTGTTACGCCACTGATGTTGAGTGAAGCTAACATGAACTGCTGTATATTAGGGACAGTAACAAGAACAATGTGTCACTCATTCAACACTTTTAACTACCATACATTATTTTTCTGTATTTGCAGTTTTATTTGGTAGCAACTAAAGCAGGTACAAACCTGCATTGATTTAAAGAAACCTGCTCCTTCTGCTGCACGTCGAGGACTTCTGTTCTTGGAATAAAATAACCCAACATTACACTTTAGGGTGTAACATGAAGGGATGAAGAGATGAAGGGATGTAAGGATGGAGGAATGAAGAGATGAAGGGATGAAGAGATGAAGGGATGAAGAGATGAAGAGATGAAGGGATGGAGAGATGAAGGGATGAAGAGATGAAGGGATGAAGGGATGCAGAGATGAAGAGATGAAGGGATGTGGGTATTGATGAGGCAGGAAGGGGAATGGATGAATGAATAGGAAAGGTGGGTTGTGGGGTTAGAGGTCAGCTGGAGGTGAAGCTGCTCCTGAACACAAGTGTACTAATAACATAAATATACACATACAGTAAATGTTTATTACTCAGGTCATGGTTTAAGTTTGTTGAGGACTAGACTATTTTGAGACAAGTTTATCATTTCTTAAGAGGTGAGAGAGAGTTCCACAATGTTGGCCTGTGTGAACGGACCCCACTGAAGCAGCTTGTTGCCCCCCCCCCCATCACGTCCATTCATCAAATATGTGTTATATGTGAATCTGAAAGTTACTAGTACTTACAGCTGTCTGATAATGGACTGCAGTCAAGTATGAAATAGTTTCTTCTAAAATGTTATAAATTATAACTTTAAAGTAAAATACCTCTAAACTGAACTTCAGTTCTTAAAGGGGACCTATCATGCAAAATGCACTTTAGTACGTCTTTTCTACATGAATATGTGTCCCCGGTGTTCCAGGGAACTCACCAAGTGTCAGAAAACACAACCCTCTCTATTTTCCTCCATACCCAAATCTCTAAAAAAGGGGCTGCAACGGATCTGATAAAAACTGATCCAGATTTGAACACTGTCCTGACGTCAGGACGGTGGCGCTACGGCTATTGGGCCAACTCCACCAATCAGGAGGAGACAGCCACGGCCATTGCCGTTCGAAAGCGCTGGAGACGCTGTAGTACATATGCCAGGCCTGTAGGTGGTGCTGTTCTCACTGAATCAGCCCTTGCTAAAACAGAGCTAGAAATGGTCAAATTGAGCAAAATGAGGCATGGCTAAAATGCATGATCTGTTTGGTATTTTGAAAAAAAAAAAGTATAAATATGCCTTATATAGGTATGGTCCTACACTATATTGTTATAATATAGCATGATAGGTCTACTTTAAGTAAATGGAGTAAAAGTTACTTTGCAGCGAGAAGTTAAAGTTCAGAAACATTTGAGGCGTAACAACATTTATTTATTGTTAAAAGATCCATTCAGACTTGTTTACTGACTTTCCTGCTCTGCTGACTTTGGCTGTAGATTTTATTGTACAGTGGTTGCATATTCTTCATACCAAGACACAACCATGCACGTCACAGGTGTGATCCGGTCCGTCTTGTTTTTGTGTTTTCAGCACTTTGATGCCACGTCTTCAGATAAAGGTGAACAGTTGATCAGAGACAGCATTTCTCTCTTTCTCTCTGAAGGAGAATAAACAATCTCAGGTTTTTCTCAACAAACAGCAGAATCTCTGGTGAGTTTCCTACAAATCTCGAACACACTGAATACTTCTGTTAGAACCACAATCTGATTTAAAGAAATCTCAAGGCAGGACTACTCTTTAAGGCAAAACGTCACATTTAATGCATTGAATTTGTCTTTTTAACTTGTATGTTTTTTGATTGGATATTGTTACGGGTCAATGTTCTGTATTCTTTACCTGCTTGGGGACTACGGACATGAATTGGCATTTTATACAGATGGTCATTAATTGTCCCTATCAAATAAATAAACAAGATACGTTTTTTCTAAGCTCTGTTATGACATATCTAGTTGTTACAGATATCATACTTCTCTCTGAAATCTTTACTTGTGGTGATATTACTTTGATATTATGTCAACAATACTTTTGATAACTCTCTCCTTATTTCCAGTGGTGCAGGGTTTTTGATCAATGTCGTAGAACAAAATGTAAAATAAGGAAGTGCCAAAATGCTGAATCATTTGCTGGTTTTAGAACTCATTCCTGCGCCACCTTTTGGCATATACTGTCTGATATTCAAGAAGACGTTCACCTTGTTCTTATATAAAGTAACAGAAACTTAGACGGTGAGGAGGATCAGACAACTTGTACTTTACTTTGGTGGAAAAAGTATTCAGAGTCTTTACTTCAGTAAACGTACCAATACGATTAATGTCAAAGACTCCTTTCACAAGTAAATGCATTTTAAACCAAACTTACTCTCACTTTTAGAATATCAAAAGTAAGGGGGCTAATTTAGAAGGAAAATTGATTTCATATGTGCTCTATTATAATATATGACATTGTTGATTGTTAATATTGTTGTAACAATTAGCATTTTACTTCAGTTACTTACTGCATATTGTAATCTACAGATACAATCTGCTCCTCTTTGTGGAATGCAGTAAAGCCTGTTCTCTTCCTTCCTGCTCTCAAACAGAGCCAGCTACACCCTCTCAAGGTATGTGATGGTTCCCTCCCTTTTATATCTTCAGGTATGAACAACAACATGCTGGTACATGCAGAGGCTGCTTCCTCCTTCACTGCATTAAGTGAAGCAGAGCAGGAGGAGACTTGCTGTCTGTCAGACTAACTCTACCAAAGATGGACGACTTGCTGTTGTTGCCCATATAAGCTGTGGACAGCCGGCAGTCAGGGCGTTGAATCGATGTCAGACGCCACGCATGTTAACCTGGTTAACTCGTTGTTCTGGTCATTGTGTATGGAGTCATGTGTTTATCATTAGACTGGGCCAACACTTTCCCTTTGACCCTGCTCAGAGAGCTTTATGCTGATGTCCCTGCAGTAAGTGCTGTTTTGGCTGTTTGGTCCTTAATTATTTAACCACTAGATTCAGTGAGGTTTAGTGTGCTTAATATTAATCCAATATAACTCTAAGTGGTCCTCTTTTGCACCCATCTTGGCTCTGTGTTTATTTGTTCATTAGAAGGTTCATTTGTTTGAATCCATTTACTTGTGTTGCTTCCCTTTCCCCAATGAGATGAGTCGTTGTTAGAGAGTCCTGGTTCTTGGATGTGGATCCTAAAAGTGTTTTGTGGGTATTGTTTGTGATCTCAGGCTGTATCCTTCTGGACAAAAATCTCTCTAACTTTTTTGTAAAAGTCCTCCTTATCTTCTTGTATTTTCAAAAGTCTAGCTTGTTGTTTGCGTGTACAGTCTCTGCGTAGAATCACCGTAGGAAAAGGAACCTGTGGGCTCACGTGCGCCCCTTGTAGTGAGTACTGTCGGCCTCACCTTCTGTCTTTTGACTGTGATTTTATGACACATCAGCAAGACTAAATATGTCACAGTGACACACATACATTACATACATTAGTTAGACTATGGAGAGTCAGGACGCATAGTAAAGTCTCTGTAAACATTATCTGCAATCCGAGGTGAGGCTCAGCATCTCTCACCGTATAGGAACAGAAAATACTCCATTAGAGCGATTTTTACTATAAAATGATCGAAATGATTGGAATCTTACAGAAAATACATTTATAGCACAGACCAGTGGAACAATATTTATATTGTTTCATTTTATTGTTATTTGTATTTTTAATTTTCATGAAGATAGGTGAGGCACTGATCCACCTGCCTCACCTGCCTCACCTGACCGCACGTCCCTAATCATGGGTACAGTTTGTGATGTCAGGCTGTGTGCAGTTTGCCCTGAGCAGTTTGTGTGAGCAGCCACCAGAGGGCAGCATGGTGCAGGTTTGAACCAGCAGCTGACAGGAGGCTGATGGGATGTTAAACCCAGCACAGATAACAGCATGCAGCTCGCTCTGTAGTATGAAACAGATTGATACACATAAACACAAAGAAATACAACATACAGTACAGGTTGATGTGTTGATGGAAATATACACAAAGGATGCACTCTGTTTAGTAGAGTGAAGGGATGTCTTGATTCATTTTGAGGTCACTTTCAAGTAGTGTAGTAGTCTTGGGTCCATTTCTAGAAGTGGTCTCACTATTCAAGTTTTGAATATCTTTGTAGTACTTTTGTGTAAATGTATGTATAGTCGTTGTGTGTCTGTTTGTAGTTATTTTAAGTTCATCGCCATCAGCTGATGTGCAAAAAAGGTGATATTTGGCGATGGTAATAGCTGATGTCAAAATGTTTTTGCTGGGCCATGTGAATTGCCCACATTGCCAACGTTGAGATTAGGGCTGGGCAGTGGCGGTTCTAGAACATTTTACATGGGTGGCAAAGGGGGGGCAAGAGGTCATGCCAGGGTGGCATGGGAGGGCCGACAGTACGTGGTATTTTATACTGTATAACCTATTTATTGTTAAATCATGCCCTAACACAAGTGTTCTTGATGCACAAGAGAAACAAGGTGTTCAGACAAACAAACTAACATATATATAAAACAGCAGAAAATACTCATGATACCCTAGAACTCTGTTTACTGTGAGTACAGTCAAAGTACTTAGTTATAATGAAGTACACACATGACATCACCCATCTCTTCAGAGAGCTAGAGGTGAGCTGTGCAGCAACACATTTCAATATGTGTCAATACTAAGAGCTTCTAGATTGTTCTGCTGTGATGGAAGATGTGAGGAGAATAAGAACATACCATGAGGTCCAGCTGGAGTCTCCTCTGCCTCCTGACCCCTGCCTCTGGCCCTCTTTCTGACACTTCATCTTTATTCAACAACTCCCTGATAGTCCAATGGCGACGCTTGGTCAGGGTACTACGGCGTGCAGTTGTGACGCGCCGAGGCTCCTTCAGCTTCATAAACGGACGCAAAGAGCTTTCAACTGATTGCAATGTATTCCCATCGGCGGCAGCATTTGACGCTCAGGGAAGCACCACATCGGTCCATGTCGGCGGCAGTTAAAGGCAATGTGAGCGTCCATTCCCATTGGATAACGGAGGATTTTACACCCGGCAGCAAGTATTCTCCTTACTGTCGATTGATTTGACAGTGATATCTGCACTACTCATCAACTCAGAAACACCAGATTATCCTTGTTAATTACACAACATTGATTGGTTTAAATTGTGTGCAATGCTTTTGTGTTTTTCCCCTTCGATTCGGAGAAACAAATATTTTTTCGGAGTTTTCAGAAGACACTACACTACCCATAATCCTCAGCTATCGGACTACACCATGCGCTTTGCTTGACAACCCTCGTGATTAGTCCTCAAGCTCTGTGATTGGATGTTGGAGTGGCAGTGCGCAAAGTTTACGCCGAGCCTCAAACAGCACTTTGAAATGGAATGAAACCCATCGACGGCACACTATCCAAAACAGGACTCGAACGTGTCCTACCCCAACGCAAGGGGGGCGGCCCTTAGCGTACATTTTCAACTTTCCGGGATGTCCATAGGCTTCTTGAGATCGCGAGCGAATGCTTCCCGCCGCGGGCCATTCTCTGCTGAAGCATACGTTGCTCCATTGCATTAAAAACATTATGCTCTCTATATATTGTCTTTATTATGCTTTAAACAGTGTCTCGGGCTTTGGCTATAGGGCGGCTCAAAGTATTTTGTCCGGCCGTTGTGAAGACTGCTTTGTTGATTGTCCTTGTTTTGTTTTAAATAAAGCATTTTCAATCCAGGCACGCCAAACATGTGACGTCATATGATGCGTCGCACAGGGAGCATGGAGGGAGACCACCGTTATTATTATTATATATCTTCCTGAGACCCACTGCATCCGTCTGCCATAAACACTATGGAAACCTACATGTTAGTTTCGGCCCATAGTGGACTCCATTTTGTGTTGTGTAAAATGGGGGGGAATTAAAAGTTTGCAAATCCCCATGTCCTCCTCAGAGGACAATCATAAAAACATTTAGTTTTAGGTCAAATAATATTTAAAATGATATAAATTATCATATTTGTGTATGTGCCCCTGCCATTCCTCCAGAAGGTTGCAACATTGATGATAAATAAATGACAAATAAAGCTTTGCCAGTTTATAACCGATGAAACATGATGGTATCAGAATAATCACTTACATGTGATGTATAGGATGCTACACAGGTCACTAAAGATAAAGTGTCAGGAGAAATAAGCAAGATACAGGATCTGTTTAACAGTAAATAGAAGTTCACATTTTTAATGTAAATAAAATAGAAGTTGTACATGTAAATTAACATTATCAATATAAAATAAAGTGTCAGTTGTATCAAGACTATATAATAACAGTAATAACAATAATATAAAATAAACTGGTGAGCATCTTGTCCTCCGTTTCCTGGGCCTTGGTGAACAGCACCATCTGATCCCCGTGCATCCACTCTTTCACCACGGCACGCCGGTCCTCCAACGCCTGGGCGGTGTCAAAGAAATTCACATCCCGTGCCCGCTTTCCTAAGAGGGGAAAATAAGCAAGATACAAGATCTGTTTAGTCGCCATGTAGTTTTACAACATACTAGGAATGTGTTTACTAGTCAACATTGGACAGGGTGCAGGCCGGGACAAGACAGTGTACACAATGCAGGTGTATAGTAGAAGATAATATAGGAGCAAATAGCATAAAATATATATATATATATATACACACACACACACTGAGTGTGTGTGTGTGTGTGTGTGTGTGTGTGTGTGTGTGTGTGTGTGTGTGTGTGTGTGTGTGTGTGTGTGTGTAGCTGCCGCTCAAAGTGCCCTTCTTTATTGTTTTGTATTTTTGAAGAGTGCTTCATGTATGCTTGAACTTTGTTTAATTTTGTTGAGGCAAGTTTTCTTACCGGAAGTCATGTGACCTCTAGCCCGGATGTTTACAATGTTTGTGAGAGAGTAAAAAGGCGCGAACATTTGTAAATGCCGGTCTAGACGAATACGTTTTCACGCTGTTTCATAATTGTACCAAGAAGGAAATAAACGTGATTGTGAACATCAGTTCGATGCGTGACGTTCTTTCAAGACAAAGTTACAGTGTGTGTACCTTTGCGTTTGGTTGCTGGTAAGGGGGACGACCAAGCGCTGTGATCTAGAAGGCAAAGCTCGCTTGTTTCCAATCCCGAGAGTTGATTTTCCTCGCCTGAAACAGACGATTAGTGCCATGAGTTAGTGAAGCAAATTACAGAAACACTGCACAGTTATTCACAAGTCAAAACGTTTTCATAGCAGCCGAGAATATCTAGCTAGCTCGATGTTATTAGCTAGCTCGGGGCCGGTGTTAGCCAGTTCAGCCTAGCATGGCTAGCTTGATCTACTGAGCAAATAAAAGTACATCTGAGACCATTCTTGTGCAGATTAAAACCCCAGTGCATGTAGTTGATTCGTCGTCATCGTTGGCCACTGAATCCGCCGTTTGAGCGGCCTCCCACACCATTGTGCCCGAATCGAAGGTCGATGCTGTCCGGGAGAAAAGATCTGTGGCCTAGCAGAGCATCCAAGCGCTCGTACCATTTACTGGTCTTCCGGTCGTTACCACTCTTGTTATTATAGTCTTTAATTTGTTTGTAGTCCTGCCTGAGTTTCTTTATTTTTAGCCGGTATGCCGTGGCGCTGTTCACGATTCCCAGGTCGAGTGAAAGCTACTGAACTGGCTTCAGTAGCATTCCCTGGGTCGCGTCCTCGGCGTAGATCTCCAGAAGCGCCGACACCTCCTCATCATTCCACCGCTCCGATGATTTCTTGATGCTTGCCATAACTGCTTTCAAAAACAAACTACTCTCCGTCGGTGCGCTGGGTTTTTGTAGCGAGGAAAAACAATGGCGGCTCTACAAAACATTTCACAGTTGTACGGGGCGTGGTTTGCAATTCGCCCAGCCAATCAGCACTGGGGCACTTTTTTCCCACAGGATAGTACGATCTCTCAGCGGGCACTAAACATGGGGGTAAAAGTTCCCGAGATTAAGTGCTCTTTTTGGTGTGAACGCGACATAAAGGGTACTAACGGAACTAAACGCGAAAAGTACGGTGAAAAGTACTCCGGTGTGAACGCGGCTAATGCATACTTTTTCCGAAATAAGATCCCATGGAGGAACCCGGAAGTTTGACGGATATTACCCACAATCCTCTGTAGCAACCATAGACTGTATAAAACAATTAAATAATACATTATTCCGAGTGTGCTTGCTTTTCTCTTTGAAAGTCATCACATAACGGCATTGTAATACACGTTTCGGCTGCATTAAATATGACATATCTGCCGTAGTTAACTCTATGTATAGAGCCCTGATGACAAGACTTCTAGACAAACAGGAACTGCCGCCAAAACTGAAAACTTGACGTGGATCTTAAATATATAAGCAATTAAACAACATCTTACATTTCTTTTCACACAATACGTCTCCTTGCAGTATCAACACTAATTCGGCTGACTTTTATATTTGATCCAATTGGTAGATAGGCTGTATTTACACCATAACGGTGGACTGCTGACAGAAAGGGACACCTACTGGTTAAAGCACGTTATTGCATTTTATAATTGTATTATTAGATATTAATAGGAGGATGTATGTATCATACTCTTATAAGATGTATGTAGATAGTATAAGAAATGTGCAGAATATGACAATGTAATGGTGGAGGTACACACATATTGATAGATGTCTTGTAATGCACTGTTGAGGAACCTGCAACCCAAGTTTTTCATTCATTGCATAACTACACCGTAGTTGTGTATAATATGATATGTCAATAAACCTTAGAAAATCTTGAAATCTTGAAAGGGATGTGCAAAATAGTCAACACAAGGCAATTCAAAGTGTTTTACAAAAAATAAAGACATTAACCTGTTAAGCACCAAGCCTGTTTTTCATGTTTCAGGCTCGAAAATGACATGCCCAAAACAAATGACTACAACTTAACTTCTAAAAGGGTTATATGAATAATTTCTTTTATCAAAGCAAGGTTACATCTGTGAGTTGGATGTAGAAGTGTCAGAATCAATATAGATGTTTTTTATTTTAAAGAAAATTCAGATTTTACATAGTAAAAAACTGTAAATTATAGTGTCCGTCCAACAATTCTTTTTTACTTATAGTGAAAACTACCCTTGGATGATGGGTTAGTAGACTAAAAGCTTTAGGAATCCAAAGTACAACATATAATAAGTACCCTGTATCAAGATTGATGCAAAACAAGTGACATTTGACCTTTTTAGAGAGATTTAGCCAAAACCACTCCACCTCTGAGGTGATTTGGGTGAAAATGTTTTTTTTTCCATATCTCTGGCCCCCCTTGCTCGATTTTGATGGTTGACACCTCTTTCTTACCGTTAGAGCCAATAGAATCGAAGGGGGAGGCCCCCACACACACTCATTGTGAAGAGAAAAGGTGGGGGCTGCGCGCATGTAAATGTAAAGCAGAGTGGAGCTACATTCTAGCTCTGGCATTTGGAAACAAAAAAGCAGTTTTATTGCTTATGGATTATCAGAAATCATTTCAAAGAGGACACAGACACATTAGATTAACCTATGGATTAACTTCAGCATCGTTTTTTTATCGTTTTAATGCCATTGAAGACCAGTTTTGACCAAGGTAAGCCATGTTAGCTACTTAGCTCCACATGTTATGATGTACGCTTTCGTTTATAGCGTCGCAAATGTTTATCACTGAGTGTTGAGGTGGGCACCCCTAGATTCAGTGTCTCCAGGACACCAAAAACGAGTGGTTGGTTGTGCATCTAGGATAAGTAATAAGGGAGTTATTGTGAGTTTAAGTGCCGTTTTAGGTTAAATCTTTTCGCTCGTGGCTAATTCAGAGGCTGAGTGCTAGCATTGTGGGTTTTTTTTTAATTTTTTTTTTAAAAAGATCAGTTAGCTGAGTTTCTTCCCGTTACATGGATATAAAACATTCATAGTTTTATTAAATATTAAGATTCCTTAGACGTTGTTTCCTGCAAATGACGCGTTTATCCGCCCGGTACCGGGGGGGGCCGTGCGTAACAGGTTAAGAAAAAGGCATTTTAAAACAGTCATTAAAAAGCAACACAATCTACCTGCATTGCATTACTCTAAACGTGTAATAACGTGCTTTAACCAGTAGGAGGTGCGGGTTAAAAAGCTGTCAAGTTTACAGTGTTAACAAAATAAAATATACTGCTGTTTCTGGTTTAGTTTACGACGGATATATTCTGTTATTGTTTTGATATTTGTAACACAAAAGCGATGTAAAAACCCCACAGCAACACAGAAAAGATGGTCTTAACATGACCCAGCGGTCTAGTAGTTAATAAAAAATAATAATATCAAAACAAATGATTACTACTAACTTTATTTTGAAATTAAAACAGAACGGTAAAAGAATAGTTTCCGGTCTATTCTGAGGCCCGATCTCTGTAGATAAATAAAGAACTACGACAGATGTGTATTTTTTTCATATAGAATGCAGTTGGAGGTCAACCAATCACAGAGCTTAAGGACTAATCGCGGGGTTTGTCGAGCAAAGCCGAACGATAGCTGAGGATTCTGGGTAGTGTAGTGTCTTCTGCCATCCTAAACTCCGAAAAAATATTTGTTTCTCCGAATCAAAGGGGAAAAATACAAAAGCATTGTACGAAATTTAAACCAATCAATGTTGTGTAATTAACAAGGATAATCTGGTGTTTTTGAGTTGATGAGTAGTGCAGATATCGCTGAAAAATAAATCGACAGTAAGGAGAATAGTTACTTCCGGGTGTACAATCCTCCGTTATCCAATGGGAATGGACGCTCACATTGCCTTTAACTGCCGCCGACATGGACCGATGCGGTGCTTCCCTGAGCGTCAAATACCGCCGCCGATGGGAATACATTGCAATCAGTTGAAAGCTCTTTGCGTCCGTTTATGAAGCTGAAGGACACTCGGCGCGTCACAACTGCCCGCCACGGGACCCTGACCAAGCGTCACTATTGGACTATCAGGGAGTGAGACTGTGTTGCTTTATTCCTCACATACATTTCTTCTTGTTCACTAATGTCTTCATCTCCTCCTGGATTCCTCCTGCTCGGACCCTCCTGGTCTCTTCAGTGAACTGAAGAGACTACTTGTGAAAAGTACTGGTACAAATGGTTGTCTAGGGCCATGTAGCTAATAATTAGCATAGCCTTTAATAAATATAAAATCAGAAAGTATTTATCAAACGCACACAGACAGCTGTGTTTAGATCCAGTTTGACGGTAAAGGATGTATCCTGGTTTAATTGATCTGGCCTCATTGCTATGATGTGTAATTTACGTGGATTTAATAGTACCGCATAGTTAAGCAAATAAAGTGATCGATATGTAGTATTTTGTAACGTGACGCCCCAAACAGCGACCGTCTCTTTAACGCTATCGATTCAAACGGCAGCGTTTTATTAATATTTTGTTTCAAGCTCTCATCTTTAGTAAAAACTAAACTAGTGGAAGGGGAAATGCTCCCAGGGGAATCTGATCCACCTTCAGGCGCTGGGACAGCTCTCCGGTCTGTGAACGCCGCTCCGCAGTTTGCAGGGCCGTAGCTACGTTTTTAACGAGCCTAAAATTATATTTAAAATTATTCACTTTGAATTCATGAACTGCTTGTTTCGTTGCTTGAGAGGCTTGTGGACATAGTGTAGGTTTGTTTCTACAAGTACAGTTTTAGGGACACAAAAGTTAGGAGGGCAGCTGGGGGGGCAAGGCTCTACAGTGTGCAGCTGCCCCCCCTTGCCCCCCCGTAGATCCGCCCCTGGGGCTGGGCAATATACCAATATTCCTCAAAGGCTAAAGGGTTCAAAGATTAAATGGTTTTATCGAGATATGCACAACAGTTGTAGTGTAGTTTAAACAATACAAATCTAAGACCCAGGCTCCTCGAACAGTGCAACTTGGTATAAACTTGAGACAAAAAGTCTAATCAAACTGAAAGTGAAACAATTGATTATGCAAATTGTGCAAATCACAGCACTATTATAATGAAATAGGTAGATGTGATTCATAAATGGAGTTTATTTGAATGAAATATGTCTTATTATCATTAAAAGTGACGTGTTATAATGGATTATGATGGACGTAATGAAAAACTAGAATATTTTTCATAAAAATTCACAATTTGTTTTGCACTAAAATGGAAAAAATAACAACAAACAAACAAACATGAAAACATATTAACATCAGTGTCGGCATCGGCCCAATTGTTAATCCAATCGTCTGTCATTTTAGTGGCTTTGTATCAATTTGTAAACTTTTTGTGTTTCTTTGTTGAGTAGAAAGGTCTAATTGAAATGTGAGCATGGTTGGACATGATATAACCAAATCATTGAAGTTAACTAACGAGCTGTTGTTGATTCTTTTCAATTCATTCAGAGCGATGACCTCTAAAGGCAGCGGGACGATGGAGGTGGCGGCGCTCGGACGGCCTTTCGGTCTTGGGATGTTGTACGACTGCCGCAAAGACTCTCTCGTCCCTGGTGAGGAAAAAACATCACCTGTAAAAAAAGAACAACAACATTTTCTTTTTGCCCCCACAAGGAAACACACAGATACAAAGTTATGAATCAGTTATTCCAGATGTCTTGTTGATAGCATGGATTAGATTTGTGTGTTGTTGCAGAGTTGGAGGAAGCAGGTTTGGACTAGCTTGTTTATGTGAGGCTCAAGTTCAGATTCTGGTCAAAGATCACAGGTTTCCTGAGTAGGGTTTGACGTTGGGGGGCCAGGGTTCTGATGCAGGATTTAGAGACACAGTTAACAGGAACACTAAGAAAGACCTCTGTTTGTCTGAATTTAGATCAAGAAGGTTAAGTGACATCCATACAAGCAGTAATGGAGAGTGCTAATATTACCCAATCATTTTGTCTAACTGCAGAGTAAATCTGCGTGTCGTCAGCGTAACAGTGGTGAGAGTCAGGGAACTATACAGGAAGCACCACTGAGGGAATCCTCATCTCTGTTTCAGTATAGATAAGAGACAGAGACCGGAGAGAAAGTTAGAAGTTGGAGCTCGACAAAGGATTCTTTAAAAACACAGAGAAAGACAGGCCCCAAATCTCTTCAAAGATCTCGTATACTCCAGACGTTGATGAGAAGTGACCATCTTAGCTTTTGACCACCTGTACAGTAGAAGCCCAGATCCAACTGTTTCCTGCTGCACACGAAGGCATTTGATGTATATCTTGTTAAATGACTGTCCCTTAAAGTTAGTGTGTATTAAGGAGCTCGATTCTTTCTTCTTATTTTGCAGGAATGACTTTGTGGGACCGTGAGGACCTTAAAAAACATACTGGAGAAAGACCACAGAACTATAATAATTTTGATTTAGTTGCATCTGAATCAATTGCGGACAAATCTTCAGCACTAAATGTTGAAGCATCACTGAAGGCAAGTTTCTTGGGTGGACTGGTAGAGGTTAGTGGATCAGCCAAATACCTGAACGATACTAAGACTTCCACAAATCAGGCCAGAGTAACACTGAATTACAAAACTACCACAAAGTTCCACGAACTGTCCATGAATCATCTTGGAAGAGACAATGTGATACATCAGTCTGTCTTTGATAAAGGAATAGCCACACATGTAGTCACAGGTATCCTTTATGGCGCACAAGCCTTCTTTGTCTTTGACCGTGAGGTGTCTGTCAACGAGAACCATCAAGACATTCAGGGCAACTTGAAGGTGATGATCAAGAACATTCCCTGCCTTTCAATAGAGGGTGAAGGCTCGCTGAAAATGGAAGACAAGGACAAAGCAAACGTTGAGAGGTTCTCCTGCAGATTCTTTGGAGACTATTTCATCCAGAAACCTCCAACATCCTTTCAGGAGGCAGTAGAGGTGTACCAAAGTCTGCCAAAGCTGCTGGGAGCCAACGGGGAAAACGCAGTACCAGTGAAGGTCTGGCTGTTGCCTCTGACATTTTTAGATTCTACTGCCGCTAAACTTGTCCGTCAGATAAGTATAGGATTAGTTGAAGAATGTCAGAGTGTCCTGGAGGACTTCAGTGACCTGGAAATGAGGTTCAATGATGCACTGAGAACCCAAACTGCACAGCAGTTCCCACAGATTGGGAAAAAACTCAAAACCTTTAAACAGAAGTGCTCTCAGTTCAAACTGGAATTCCAACAAACTCTGGCAGAGAAACTTCCATCAATCCGAGGAGGAGGAGAAGAAGAAGCTGTGCTCACAGAGATCCTGAGGAAGACATGTTCTTCTCCTTTCAACAGCAAGGACCTGAACGAGTGGATGGACTGGAAGGAGAGAGAAATATACACCGTGATGTCTCTGACCAACATGATGACAAACACCAAGATCATCTCATCTCAAACAGACCTGTTCAAAGAAAGTTTCAAAGCAGAGCAGGCTGTGTGTTTTGTCTTCACCTCGCTGGGAAGTGATGAACCGTACCTCTCAACTTTATCAAACTACCTTCAACAAACACCCAAACCAGACGACGCTCAAGATCCCCCCCCTCCAGATCAATGGTACAACTCAAGAGAAGAAATGGAAGCAATGCGGCACAAAGCAAAGCTCTTCAGTGATTTTGCAGAGGCCAACAAGGAGAACAAGAACATCACATTCCTGACGGTGGGTTTAACAAACGAGACACAGAGAGGTGCCAGCATCTACCTTTATACAGACGGCCTTTCTGACAATGAGAACTTTGAGCCGCCTTCAAAGCCTGCAACAGTAACAGGAAGTGATATAAACCACAACAGTGTGACGCTGAGGATTTCTCCACCCAGATTTGGAGCAGAGGACATCACCTCCTACTCTGTTGAGTACTGTGTCAGAGGAGAGGACGACTGGAAACAAAAGACAGCATCCGAAGCTGAAGAAGTCACAGTGAGCGACCTGAGTGCCAGGCCAGCCAATGAAGATGGAGGCTTTGATCTGAAGTGCCTGAAAATGGGTGCAAGAAGCATGGAGAACATATTTGTTAATTTTGATAAGACAACAACCAAAAGCTTGACAAAGAAAGTCCTCAGAGAAAGAAAGCAGCCCGAAAATGTGCAAAAGCAGGTTAAAGTAGGGTTAGCCAAGCTGCGTCTTAACACAGAGTACATGTTCAGATGCAGGGCAGAGACACCAGTAGGTGCCGGGCCAGCCAATGAAGTCAGTGGATCCATTCAAACCTTACCCTGCAGCCCTCCTGGAAAACTCCACGTTGAATCTACCTCACGTGAGATATCAGTCAGCTGGGAGAAACCTGCTGAGCTCGGACAAGATGTCCATGTTTTGAGCTACATCGTGGAGTACGCCAAACAAGACCAACAGGTGAAAGAGGAAGATCTCCACTGGGAGCAAATGATGGCAGGAGCTGAGAAGGTGATCATTTCAGGACTTCAGCCAGAGACAGAATACGCTGTCAGGGTCAGGTGTGATTGTGGTGCAGCTGGAAGAAGCAAAGAAAGCATCGCTGTTAATGTCCGCACAACAAAACCTGCACATCTTAAAGAATTCCTCATAAGTAAAAGCAAAAGGATCAATTCTGAATCTCCCTCAGTTTACAAACTGCCTCTGACAGAAGAAGACATGCACGTCAAAGGATGCCGGAGGTACAACTTTGGCGAAGAAAGCACGAGGCAAAATCGCACAATAATGCTTCTCGGAGCAACTGGATCTGGAAAGTCCACTCTGATCAATGGGTTCATCAACTACATCGTTGGTGTAGAGTGGAAGGACGATTTCAGATTCAAGTTAGTTCACGAGGATCAGTCGAGATCTCAAGCTGAGAGCCAGACCTCTGAAGTCACTGTGTACAACATCAACCACCAAGAGGGCTTTAAAATCAATTACTCTCTGACCATTGTGGATACTCCAGGTTTTGGAGATTCAAGAGGAATAGAAAGAGACAAAGAGATCACAGAACAGATTCGTAATCTCTTCTCTTCAGAGCGTGGCGTCAGTGAAATTGACGCAGTGTGTTTTGTAGCTCAGGCTGCTTTAGCTCGGCTCACAGCAACACAGAAGTATGGGTTTGATTCTGTGCTCTCAATCTTTGGCAAAGATGTGGCAGAAAACCTCCAGGTTCTGGTGACATGCTCAGACGGCCAACGCCCACCAGTTCTAGAGGCGATCAATGCTTCACGTGTCCCTTGTCGTAAAACAGAAGACGGGCTGCCAGTTCACTTCAAATTCAATAATTCTGCATTGTTTGCACAGAACCAATCATCTGCTGCTGCTGACTCGAGTGGGGATGAGGAAGATGGAGGCTTTGATCAGATGTTCTGGGAACTGGGGGCAAAAAGCATGGAGAGGTTCTTTGTTGCTACTGATAAGCTAACAACCAAAAGCTTGACAATGACAAAGGAAGTCCTCAGAGAAAGAAATCAGCTCCAGATCTCAATTGAAAATGTGCAGAAGCAGGTTAAAGTAGGGTTAGCCAAGCTTGAGGAGATAAAAGAGACAACTGAACAGGTTAAACTGCATGAAGCAGAGATCAGCAGAAATGAGAAATTTGAGATTGAAGTAGTCGTCATGAAGCCTTTTAAAGTAGATATATCTGGCACTGGAACCTTCATCACCAACTGTCAGGTGTGTCATGTCACCTGTCACTATCCATGTCCATATGCCAATGATGGAGATAAAAGAAAGTGTAAAGCAATGGGACCAGATGGAAACTGTACTCAGTGTCCAGGCAGATGTCATTGGAGTAAACATTATAACCAGAAGTACAGATGGGAGTATAGGGAGGTTACAGAAAAGCATACAGTGAAGGAGCTGAAAGAAAAGTACCTGAAGGCCTCAAAGGCTAAGGGAACTGTTCAGGAAGTGACCCCACTCCATCACACTGGAGTGAGGGAGATAATGATGAGGTCTGCCAAGTGTCTGAACAGACTAGGAGAGATCGCACTGAAGCCAAAGCCTCTCTCCACTCCAGAGTACATTGACCTGCTCATTGAGGGAGAGAAATCTGAAGCCAAGCCAGGCTGGAAGCAACGAGTCGAGTACCTGATGGAGATGAGAGGACAAGAAGAGCTCATGGGTAAAGCAAGGAGAGGAGAACACCTGCTTTAAAGTGAAGAATCTTAAACTGAAGGCAACATCAAGACCAGCTCCAACTGAGACCAAGACAAGAGCTGAACATGATATCAAAGAAGAGACGTGTAAATACACAATTAAACAAGACAGGATAGTGAGTGATACTGATCAAGAGTCCTTGATGGCCAACACAACCAAGTGACCATGACACAAATGTTCATGGGACATGTATGTTTTTTATTCTGTACTTCAAGTAATCGTGCTTGAACAGTTTTTTTATCATGAAGGATTACATTTTTCAAAGCAAGATGGTTGGTCTTGAAGAAATGCTGAAGGAGCAGCCGAGAGAAGCTCCTCCAGAGTCCACAGTGATCACAAATCCTTTGGATCAAACCCAAACCAAGACCAAACAGATGGCAGCAAGACCAAGAGGAGATCTATCAACAAACTGGAAGACGTCTGTGTTTTTATATCTGAGATGATCTCACCAACCCTGGGACCCATCTACTTCCTGTTTGGCATGTGTGTTGCTATGGACCAGGGGGAGGTGCTGCCCCGTGTGAGGCTGTTTGGATCAGCGGTTCTGTAGGAATATGAGAGAACCCGGTCCACCCAGCGCTGAGGTGGAATGCAGTTCAAAGTGAAATGTTGGACTCTTTACTTCACCACTCTACTCTTTACTCTTCTGCATCGGGTACCTTTACATTTATTACTATAGCTTCATTTTGATTATACTTTTACACACTTTCACCTGTGTGACATTTTGAATGCAGGACTTCTACTTGTAACAGTATCTATACAATGTGGTATTATAACTTTAACCAAAGTAAAGTATCTGAATACTTCTTCCGTCACTGATACAACACATGAAGTCCAAATAGACCCGCACTCAGAGCTCTAGTGTTAATCAATGAATTACAAAGCTTTATTGTTCTCCTGCACAAACATCTCCCTGCAGGAGCAATCTGCATGTTCTGTTTGACAGGAAGTAACATGTACCATGTGCATGAAATGTGGAAGTGTGATTGTTTTGTGCAGAAATCATTAACGTCCTGACACCATCACCACCAATGGAAAAGATGAAACCTGCAAGTTTATAAAAAGTGATGTTTATTTTCTATTATGATCATTTACAAATATCAGATTATTGCTAAATGTTTTTTTCTGCTCTTCATGTTATTTCCTTTGAGATGTGTAACTCTACGTGAGTTTTGTTAATGATGGATTGTATTGCTGAGTGTCCTGAAATGATACGGTGGCTCCTGCTGGATGATGGAGACCTTTCTAAACGTTAAACAATAACTCAGACTAATGGAAAGTTTATTTTAATCAGAACAACAGATATGAGAATAAGGAGATTAAAGAAGATCTATCAACAGCTGAAGGGAAAAAGTATAACTTTTAAATATTGTATTTTTCACATAAAGTTTGAATTTATTTCCATTGTAATCGTTTTACTGTGTTGTTGTTTTAACCGGGTTATCAACTTCCTGCTTAGTTTAACATTCTTACTATTAGTTTAATATTCTTTGAGTTTTAAAAACATTATACCTGATACTGATGTGTATTGATTATCATTTACTGACAGAAGGAGAAATCATTCATTAACAATAAATAAATGTCATTTTGTCTCAAATGTTTCTGGCCTTCTTTATCTCCTCGTTTCAAAGTCTCTAAAACATCTACCCAAATACTGAAGTTCAGTTTAGAGGTACTTGTACTTTACTTGAGTATTTCCATGTTACTTTATATGTTACCTCTCCAAGTTAGATTTCAGAGAATCACTAAATCTCCATGTAATCACTAAAGAAGAACATGAGTAGACTGATTGCAGAGTCATTCAAATGAGCAGAACATAATGTTAACCTCCAATAGTGTGTCTGACCCTGCAGTGTAAACGCTCCCTCACTTTAGATCTGAGAATGTATTGAAGGGTAGCCCCTTGAGATGGAGCATCTCATCTTCGAGGGGTCCTGAAACATAAACACACACATTATAATAAATAAATCTGGTTTAAAGATCTCCTATCGTGCTGTTTTTAGGCATATATTAAGGGTCTCAGATACATACAAATATATGAAAAACATGTCTATGATGTGTTTTGCTCCAATACCAAACAGATCATTCTAGCCTCATCCCTCCTCTGTTACTAAAGAGATGATTCTGGTTTAAAAGAAAAGAGGGGCGGAGCTTATGCCGAGCATCTGATCAGGAGAATTCTAGCAGCAGAAACTCAGCTAAATGCTGCCGTGATTAAACTCCATATTTCATTTCATTTCATTTGTATTTGTTCCGTTCATGGTATGCAAAACTTAATGTATGATAATTGTTAACAAAACATGTCTCTGTAAACACACCATGGACCGAAAAGGGGCAGGGAGAAGAAAGTCATCTGATATGACCTGCGCCTTTCTAAAACTAGTGGAGCTGCTGCACATTAACCTCATCACAACTCCTTCTGCGAGCTGATTGGCTCTCCTCACCGCACATCATGAGTTCAATGCTGTGCTGATGTCAGCCATTCAGAAAGCAGCATCATAAGGCATTCATCAACATCAACTTTAATCTGATCCTGAGTCAGAGCACACCGCTCCACTACAGTTCAGAGGTACATGGTGTACTTTGACTCCACTACATGTATTTAATACCTTTAGTTACTTCACAGATGTGGATGAATGATGTGAAATATAATCAAGTGTTAAATCAGACTTTAGTTCCACCTGGAGTAAATCCACAAGCTACCCTGCAGTATACAAAGTCATTCAAACTAGCTGCACCTTTACCAGCTTTGAGAACACTTTCATGATCAATCATTATAAAACATATCATATATATTATTCTGAAATGGAACAATCTGCACAATGACTACTTTCACTGTCGCTACTTTCACTATATTTTGATGAGAATACTTTTCTACTTTCACTTGAGGAACATTTTGAATGCAGGCCTTTTACTGAAACAGAGTATTCCTACACTCTGGTACTTCTACTTTTACTCAAGTACAAGATCTGAGTACTTCTACTTTTACTCAAGTACAAGATCTGAGTACTTCTACTTTTACTCAAGTACAAGATCTGAGTACTTCTACTTTTACTCAAGTACAAGATCTGAGTACTTCTACTTTTACTCAAGTACAAGATCTGAGTACTGATGTCAGTTTAATCAGAAGAAGTGTCCAAAGTACTAACATTTCCGTTTCAGTCCGTGACGTCACTGGGCCCAGAAAGACTTTGGCTGCAGTCGAATTGTCCAAAAATCAGCTCCTATCGTCTATTCCTATCCACTATTCCTCGACCTCTGTGTGAAACGTCACGGGGTTAAGGAATAGTGGATAGGAGAATTCAAAAGGATTTAGGAGAAGAGACTGCGGTGCTTTGAAAAAAAAAGCAAATCCCATGATGCTATTTGACACAATTAATAACATTGTTTCACCACCACTCTCTACATTACCATGTGTTTCGAAAGATGACTGTAACAAGTTTTATGTTTTATTTAAAGAATGACATCTCTCTTACTGAGAAACATCACAAAAAGAAAAAGTATCTTTTTAATCTGTAAAGGAAAATTTGCCAATATTATTTTCCTACAAGAAACTCACTCTAAAGATGATGAGGGAATGCTCTGGTTTTTGGACAACATTAACATGGGATCACTCCCGTCACCGGAAAAACTTTGTCTCACTGGAATATTAACGGTCATAGTCAATATAAAATCGTCCCCATGTATCCGGCCAATGACGGGAGAGTTTTGAAAGAGACAAATGGTGGCCCGGTGGCCGCATGCGGCCCTGTCACGGAGGTGATCTCTGGGGCCATAGATTTCGGCCTCCGTTAGGGGTTGTATAGCTTCATTGTTGTTGATTGTGTTCACCTGGTGCCCTGTGTTGTCTCCTCCCCCCTCACCTGTGTCTTGTTGGTTGATTAGTCTGTGGGTATTTAGGCTCTGTGTTTCCTGTTTGTGTGGGTGAGATCCTTGTTGCTGCTGACTGTGTTCATGTGGACAGCAATATTGAGGCTGTGAATCATGTGTCCATGAGGAATAAATGCCCACACCGGGTTATATTTGAACTCTCTGCCTCTGCCTCCTTGCTTGATCGGGCCGCTCAACGGTCAGCTTCACAGGCCCCCACCTCCTCTTTTTGTGGCCCTCAGATACATTTATAAACAACGTAATTAATAAAATAAAATAAAAACAATTTTCTTTTACTTGTAGTACTGATACCGTCCACTAGACTCCTAGTTACGTCGAGAGCTGCGTACATGATTTCAAATACCGCGAAATAATCTGTGACGCGTTTGTGTGTATTGTGTGTAAACACCGGCTGTTGTTATGTGTGCTTGTAATTATGCCTTTTCAAGCTTAAAGGTTGTATTTATCATCTGAATTTGGCAAAACAAGTTTAGTATTCTAAAAACCAAGACTTTGTTTATTTGAAATCAGATGAAAACAAACTGTCACGGACCCTGCCGTGTTATCTATGATTACTATACGCTTTTCATTCATAATTTCAGCGGGAGGGAAGGGGAGTGGCGCTGAGGAACAGCAGAGTGCGGGTTGAAAGGTGTCTGTGTTGACATTCCCCTTATTGTGGAATAAGGGGAATGCAGAGACAGGCTACAAGTGTCTTAGGTTCAAGTTAGACAACTAATGTCTGGGTTAGTGTTCATGACAAGCACATTTTCCGTGATTTCCAATAGTTTAAAATAGTTAAATAACCTGTTCAATACAAACATGCCACTTGTAAAAATTAAATTAAATTTCTGTGAACTGATATTTGTTTAGTGAGCTTATTAGAGGATGTTCCCTGAAAGATTGTAAAATGTCAATGAAGATGTCAGACTTAGTATATTTGTTAATAATTACATGCAATACATGGAATTTGTGTGTGTGTGTGTTCCAAGTGAATCTGCGGCCCCCTGGTGGCCAGTACATCAATAATGTGGCCCCCACCACCATCAAAGTTGCCCATCCCTGCTATAAGAGAATAGATGAAAATCTATTCTCTTATTTTTTTATAACTATAATGATCATATAAAGGTGTGCCTTTACCTCACTGAGCTGAGGTTCAAATCAAATCAAATCAAGTTTTATTTATATAGCACATTTAAAAGCGATTTTTGGTCAAGCCAAAGTGCTGTACATGTAATAAAAACACATTACTACAATCACAATAAAAGACAATAAATTACAACAGATATATATAAAAAAAAAAAACACAAGGAAAAGTCAGGAGTCGTGCTCCGCTCTAACTAGAAGGCCAGAGAGAAGAAGTGTGTTTTTAGTGTAGATTTAAAAACCCCTAGGGTCTGGGCCGACCTCACATGGAGGGGCAGAGTGTTCCAGAGCCTGGGGCCAGCTGCTGCGAAAGCTCGGTGCCCTCGGGTTTTAAGCCTGGTCTTGGGCACTACCAGCAGCAGCTGGTCAGCAGACCTTAAAGCTCTTGTTGGGGTGTAGCGCTGGAGGAGTTCGGTTATATAGGCCGGAGCCAGCCCATTTAGTGCTTTAAAAACAAATAAAAGGATTTTAAAATCAATTCTGAACCGAACTGGAAGCCAGTGTAGTGAGGCCAGAATAGGGGTGATGTGGTCACGCTTTTTGTGACCAGTCAGCAAACGTGCAGCAGCGTTTTGGACTAGCTGTAAGCGTTTGATTGAGGCCTGGTCCATACCCACATACAGAGCGTTACAATAGTCCAGTCTCGAGGTTACAAAGGCGTTAATAACCCTTTCTAAGTCTTTAAAAGATAAATACGACTTGGTTTTGGCCAATAGTCTTATTTTAAAAAAGCAGGATGTTACTACGGTGCTGACCTGCTTGTCGAATTCAAAAGTGCAAGTGAAGGTCACTCCAAGGTTCATGACAGAGAGGAGGATGTTTTTATTGAGAGAGCCCAGAATATCAACCGGAGAGGCTGGAGGTTGCGGTCCAAAAAAGATGACCTCAGTCTTGCTCTCGTTGAGGTTGAGAAAGTTTTTGCTCATCCAGGATTTTATCTCTGCTAAGCAGTCCATCAGCTGCTGTAATGAGTGTGTGACATTTGCTTTGAAAGGCAGATAGATCTGTACATCGTCGGCGTAGCAGTGGAAGGGAATGTTATGTTTAGTGAGAATTGAACCTAGGGGCAGTATGTACAGTAGAAAAAGGATGGGGCCCAGGATCGAGCCTTGGGGAACCCCACAGGTAAGAGGGGCTTTGGCAGAGGAGAAGGCACCGAGCTGTACCGAGAAGCTACGGTCTGTCAGGTAGGACCTGAACCATGCAAGGGCAGAGTCTGTGATGCCAGCGGACTGTTCAAGCCGTGACAGCAGGATGCTATGGTCCACAGTGTCAAAGGCAGCTGTCAGGTCTAACAGCACCAAGACAGCTGGGCTACCTGAGTCGGCGGCTAGGAGCAGATCATTAAAAACTCTTAAAAGGGCTGTTTCAGTGCTGTGCATGGGTTTAAAGCCAGACTGAAACTTTTCATGGATTCCATGGATGGTTAAAAAAGACTGCAGCTGGGCGTAGACTACTCGCTGCAGGGCTTTTGATAAAAAAGGTAGCTGGAATATGGGCCTAAAATTTGCGAGAATGGAGGGGTCGAGATTTTTCTTTTTAAGGAGTGGCTTAACCACGGCATGTTTGAAGGCAGCTGGGACACATCCTGAGGTAAGAGAGGTGTTTATAAGTAATAAAATACTTGCACCAACTGATTCCAAAACATCTCTGAGAAGGCGAGAGGGAATGCTGTCTGAGGTGCAGTTTGTCGGCCGCAGGTGCTTGACTACATCCGAGAGAGAAGAGAGGGATACAGGCTCAAAGTGGTCGAGGACAGCAGGGCACAGAAAAGGAGCAGGATCTGGGGTAGCACTAGTGTGGGCTAGCCTAAGAGCAGATACCTTTTCAATAAAAAATGTAAGAAACTTATCACAGAGAGTAGTCGATGGGACAATAGAAGAAACATCACAGGGATTAATGATAGAGTTGAGGACATTAAAGAGAACCTGAGGTTTATGGCTGTTTTTGGAGATGAACAGAGAAATGTGCTCTGTTTTGGCTGCTTTGACTGCCGTCTGGTAGTCGGAAAGGCAAGCACGAAGGATTTCTAGGGAGACATGGAGTTTATCCTTTTTCCATTTTCTCTCTGCACGCCTGCAAGCGCGTCTGAGAGCACGAGTACAGTCATTGAGCCACGGCTCTGAGAGAACTTTGGTGCGTCTAAGCGTAAAAGGAGCAACAGAATCCAGTATTAGTGTACATGTCGAGTCAAACATGGAGATAAGCTCATCAGCACTAAAAACACAGTTCACATCTAATTTACAGATCGGAGAAGCATTAAAAGCATCAGAGAACTGTGAGGCAGTCAAGGGGTTAATCGAACGCAGACGACGCGCCGGGGCACGTGATTCGACTCCTGCGGAAGGGATATAGGTTGTAAACAGAACCGGTAAATGGTCTGAGATACGCGTTGCTGCACATATTTCATCCACAGATACAGACAGTCCAAACGATAATACTAAGTCCAAAGTGTGTCCTTTTTCGTGTGTTGGGCCACGGACTGAACGAGACCAAAAGAATCAAGGAGATTTAAAAAGTCCCTAACCAGAGGTTTGGACTCGCAACACACATGGACATTGAAGTCTCCGGAGATCAAAACACGATCATATTTCACCATGATCCCGGACAGAAAGTCAGAAAAGTCATTTATGAAATCCTTATTACACTTTGGCGGACGATACACGACTGCGCAGAGTATAGGCGAGGCCGGGTTCAGTTCAAAAAGCTGCAACTCAAAGCTGGCATAGCTAGTTACAGGGTGAAGCAATCGGCATTGGAGGCTAGCTCTAAACACTGATGCTATGCCCCCACCATGGCCGGTGGCACGGGGGGAGCTGAAGAATGTAAAGTCAGGAGGAAGAAGTTCAGAGAACGGTGTATACTCGCCAGCGTGGACCCAGGTCTCCATCAAGAACATAAAATCCAGTTCACGAGAGGTGAAGAAGACGTTTAGCAGGAACGTTTTGTTTGCTATCGACCTAGCATTTAGCAAAGCCATGCAAAGTTTTCGCTCCGGGCTTGCCGAAGGTGTAGTGCGTCTCAGCTGACGAAGATGTGCGTGTTGAACGCCGCGCGGGCCGGGAGCAGTCAGTCGGGCAGGAGGAGCTGCCAGCGGGCCCAGCAGAGGCCGCAGCTCCGGAAAAACAGGGCGAATCCACCGATCTCTCACATGGCGTGCAGCGGGAGGGCCATGACATCCGAGGCGTGGATAAGTCCCAGGAGAAGCCGTTAGGTATGCCTTGAGATGGACCAGTGCACCACCACGCTTTCCCCGTCGTCTAAAGCGCTTTCGGCAAGGTTTGGGCAGCAATATAAACTCCAGTGAGGGTCTGAGGTGGAGGAGAGCTTGGCGATCGTAGACGAGCAGAGCAGAGACATTCTGACAAACATAAAACAAAAACAGGATAGCTAAAGGCAGAGAGCTGAGGGAGCGGCGAGCCGACACAGGCGCCATCTTCCCACACACTGGTCACAGCTGTACGGTCCTCAGAGGTTATCAGAGCCTCTCAGTCTTTCAGGAGAGAGCTCTCTAAAGCTCCCCCCCACGGCCGCTTACACAGTAAATTCCAATGTTAATAAAACCTGTATATGTTTTTTGGGAGTTTGATTTATTTTAGATGAACACAAATACAAAATGAAAACCTATAATTGCACACTAAAACCATCATTACAAAAAAAGAACTATTTCACATAAACCTCTGGTTTTGACTGGGTCTGGGGCAGTTCAACTTGATTGGGGGGGGGGGGGTGCGCCATAGTTTATGGGCGCTGTACGCAATATAGGCGTACTTGATCCAAAATCGGGAAATTGTGTTGTTATGAAATAAAAAAAATGTTTTTACATCCCTTAGCATTCGCCTATACTGCCTATGCCAAGGGCCGGCCCTGCAGCTGACAGCCACTGTGAAACTCGAGCGTTTAGTGCGATGGGATAGGAGCGATTAGAGCGAAGCGAATATTTGCATCGCATCCGGTGTGAACGCAGCATTAGAGTTGTACCCCCTAGATCTAGTCTCTAGTAATTCTGCTCAAATTGCACCAGATTTTACTTTAAAATGTTAAAACAAATCTTTCCGGGGGGCATACCCCTGGACCCCCCTAGAGGATGTGATGTCCACCCGCCAATTAAAACATGTTCATACAATAATGAATACATTTGAAACCTTCTTTATGTATATAACCAACATGTCAATACGTTTCAGTTGTAGTGTATTGGTCTTTTGTAGAGATTTTTCATTTATTCTTTATATATTCTATTGTGTATTGCTTGGAGGGGGGGGGCACCAAATCATAATCTCGCCTAGGGCACCAAAATGTCTAGGACCGACCCTGGTTATGTTATTTGTATTTCATTATATGTTTTACCATATATTTTGTACACATGTGTTTGCCTCTTAATTGAATATGATAGTGCACTCATTATATTTGGCCTTTCATGGCCCTATTGTCAACTTCAGAATATATATAGGATTAAAAGACTAATGTCACAGCAGGATTTTAAACAACTTGTCCATGCTTTTATCTTCAGTAGACTCAACTACTGTAATGGTGTCTTCACAGGTCTCACTAAAACATCTATCAGAAAGCTGCAGCTAATTCAGAACGCCACTGCTTTTTCACTGGCTTCCTGTCTGTTCTAAATACTGTTGCTGGTTTATAAAGCTTTGAATGGTTTAGGCCCTAAATACATTTCTGACCTCCTGCTAAATGATGAACCATCCAGATCTCTCAGGTCTTCAGGGACTGGTCAGCTTTCTGTCCCCAGAGTCAGAACTGAACATGGAGAAGTTCAGTTATTATGCTCCAAATATCTGGAACAAACTCCCAGAAACCTGCAGGTCCTTTTAAATCCAGGCTGAAGACTTTTCTTTTTGCCGCTGCTTTTAATTAATTTATTCACATCTTACTCTGCACTCTGACTTTTATTCATGTATTTTATATATAAGCTTGTTTTATCTTTATGTAATTATCTTCGCTTTTTAATGAGTGTTTTTAAATGCCATTTTATAATGTGTTTCTGCTGCACTATTTCTTAATGCTTTTAATGTCTTTCTTTTATGTAAAGCACTTTGCATTGCCTTGTGTTGAAGGTGCTGTGTGAATAAACTGGCTTTGCCTTTTGCTTTAACAATGTACATTTCATTACAGTAAAAAGTACAACACTGGCTTCCATGTTCTAGAAGTATTAAGTTAGGGGTTATTCAAGTAGTTATTTAAAATGACTGTTTTTGTGAAGTGTCTTTGTTTTTGAAATGGCTATAATAATTTAACTTATAATTTATATTTTTGTATTATTAATTAATGAAAGTCAAATGTTTTGTAGATTATAAATAAGTTTACCATGAGTTTAACGTTAAGAAAATTATGATTATAATAATAATAATAACAATAATTGTATTAATAATAATACAAATTATATTAATAATTTGTATTATTAATATAGTCATTGACTCCACATTACCTGCAACATAATTTAATTGTATAATAGCAAACATAGTTGAACCTAATGAGTCACATGTCTTCAGATTCTGTATCAAAACATTTTTTTAATAAACTTAAATTACATTTCAACTTGTGTCTGATGTGTGTATTTCATCAACAGGAAAGAAGTATGCACTTTACCTTTAAAAACCTCATTTATTATGTCATACAGACTTTATTCAGATAGTAATACAGTCAAACAGAATTACACAATCAGAAAACAAACGACGTGTGTGTGTGTGTGTGTGTGTGTGTGTGTGTGTGTGTGTGTGTGTGTGTGTGTGTGTGTGTGTGTGGTGTGTGTGTGTGTGTGTGTGTGTGTGTGTGTGTGTGTGTGTGTGTGTGTGTGTGTGTGTGTGTGTGTGTGTGTGTGTGTGTGTGTGTGTGTGTGTGTGTATATAACTAGCTGCTACAGATCTCGCCCTGTCATGACGATCAGAGAAGACCTGAGTGGTACGTTGCTGAAAAACCGAATTCACACGTTTTAAATTCCATTGTTAAGGTGACAGTGGATTTTTGTAAAAACAAAATGGCATGATTAAGTTTTAGTTTTAATATTGTTTAAATATGAGTTTATTAGGACTCGGGCACCAACAAAGTAGGAGCATAGGATTATTGAAATCCTTTAAGTTATTATTATTAGCATAAGAAATTGCATTTTAAAGGGCCTTGGTGTCCTTAAAAGCTGCATTTTATTGGCACACTGTGATATTTAAGGGGTCTTGATCTCACGCGTGGGCTCTATAGAGGCCCCTGAAAAGAATGGGGAAACGTACAAAAAAGCCCCATGGTGTCATATCATTAACCCAACAGGAAGTCAGTCGTTTTGAATTTCATATGCAATTTCTGACCATATTTTTCACTTTTGCGTGCTATATTTGATGTCATCCAATCAACTATCGTTAAATTTTGGTAGCTACCATCTTTAGACCTCGTGGATCAAAACATATCAAAAGCTTTACTCTACATCGAACGCCCTCCCCACGGTGTGACGGTTAAAAGCGCAGGAAGTTTTGGTTAGTAGAGCAAACATTCTTTAATATGCTCTAGATTTCTCATGGATGATAAGAGTCCAGGCATGAAGACATCTACACGTTAATATTGACGTATATACATAGTACTATCATTGATTATTCAGACCTCTCAAAAATGTTGTCTTGATAGCATCATGGGAAAAGCTTTATAATTACATTTGTGCGTTAGCGTAGAACACCTCTATGGTCAAACTTTCAGAACACGTTCAGAATCCGTCCCGCCCTGGAGACATCTATACAGCCATTTGTAATCATAGCGCCACAGCAGGAAGTTACTGTTGCTAGACGTTGGCTTACAGCTCTTGGCAGGTAAACTGGATCACCTTCATATTTGGTCAGCTCATTGTTCAGATATTCCCCTTGGCAGACTGCGAAGCTTGCCAAGAGGAAGCAGCCATCACTGTACCTTTAACCTGCATGCATGATATTTGCACATACGATAACAAATCTTTCTGCAACATGGAGCGCCCTTGTCGGGGCATCACCATCATTTTGAGACACTTACCATGTAACACAAAGTTGTTTTAACTCCAAACTGCCCTTAATGTCTTGTGTTTGATGAGAGTCCCAGCCTGAGGACTTTTAAAGGTCGACATCAGGTCATAGTCATAGTGCCACTGACTGGCAACACAAAGTCAGCATAAAGAACATCATCTGATTTACTTGAACATTTCAATTTGTGTTCTACACGATATAGAGATGCTCTTTGTTAGAAGTGTATTATCTAGCGCCACATGGTGGACAGCGGAGGTGGAGGACTTACAATATGCCATTTTCAGTGCATTAAACTCAATGCAATAGGTAGGGTGGGGTTATGCGAAAGTATTTTATTTAGTACATGTAGTGTGATGTGCAGACTATGATTTACAAATAATATAATAAAAAAGTTTTTAATATAATAAAATGTTTTGAATGAACTAATCATGTTAAATAAATACTTAGTTATTACAATCTATTGACATGTGAAAAACACAGCCACATGAGAATGGAGGACTAAATGACTGATGACTGACTGTTGAACTTTAAAATAGAAATACATAGAAGTAAAACTTTGTATTTGCTTTACTTTAGGAATTTGGAGTCCAAAGCAGCACGTTGAAATATCAGCAGCTGGGTTCAAACTGAGTGACGGGACTGAGAACGGCCAACAGCCAACACAGGTTTGTTCTAATTCATTGTCAGTAACAGTTTCTTTGTATTTAATACTAGTTTTTTCAGGGGATTTAAAAAGAAAATGTCACAACTTCCCATGAAAATAATGACCTTATCCTGCGACGGGCCAAGAGGGTTGTGAAAGAGACAATATCTGCTTCTTTGGAGGTTAATGAGGACAAATCTGTGGGGACACCAAAGATGGCTATTAAGGGGCATGGCTTCAGGGTGGTCTTGAGAACATCTGAGAGGGTTTTGCAGATTGATTGCCAGTAAGTTTTCAGTTTGGGACAGTGGGCAAACATATGACTAAGGTCACAGGGCAACACATCCTCACTGCCAGGTCGGCGTATGTTGACGTTATGTCAAGGTCCCCTGTGGTCTTTTTCCAACGCAAGGGGGGCGGCCCTTAGCGTACATTTTCAACTTTCCGGGATGTCCATAGGCTTCTTGAGATCGCGAGTGAATGCTTCCCGCCGCGGGACATTCTCTGCTGAAGCATACGTTGCTCCATTGCATTAAAAACATTATGCTCTCTATATATTGTCTTTATTATGCTTTAAACAGTGTCTCGGGCTTTGGCTATAGGGCGGCTCAAAGTATTTTGTCCGGCCGTTGTGAAGACTGCTTTGTTTATTGTCCTTGTTTTAAATAAAGCATATTCAATCAAGACATTATGATGAATTGGAAATGGGGGACCCTGATGTAAACAAGACGAAAGTCTTTCTCTGGTCTGCATCCCCTTAACAATTGTATGTTTTGAGCTGTACTGTACTGTACCCAATATACAAGCTGTTAATAAACTTTTCAATCAATCAATCAATCAACATGCCAAACATGTGACGTCATATGACGCGTCGCATCTGCGCACAGGGAGCATGGAGGGAGACCCAGGGGAGACCCCAAGATCCGTATTCCCCGTATTTTTTAAATAAAGACATTTTCAATCACGGCCGTGCATCAAACGTGTGACGTAATGTGGTATTAAAAGAGGTGAAAATCACTACAAGTCTGGGCATGTTGAGAGCTGTACATACACACACATTTCATAGTCTTATATTTCAACAGTTTTACGACAAACTGTGACTTTTTTGACATGGAAATTATTATTTAAGATTGACAAACATCATATGTGTAATTCGTGGCACAATTCAAACGGGATCGAAAGATAATCTTTCTCTCTCCATTGACTTCAATGCATACTTTTTCCGAAATAAGATCCCATGGAGGAACCCGGAAGTTTGACGGACATTACCCACAATCCTCTGTAGCAACCATAGACTGTATAAAACAATTAAATTATACATTATTCCGAGTGTGCTTGCTTTTCTCTTTGAAAGTCATCACATAACGGCATTGTAATACACGTTTCGGCTGCATTAAATATGACATATCTGCCGTAGTTAACTCTATGTATAGAGCCCTGATGACAAGACTTCTAGACAAACAGGAACTGCCGCCAAAACTGAAAACTTGACGTGGATCTTAAATATATAAGCAATTAAACAACATCTTACATTTCTTTTCACACAATACGTCTCCTTGCAGTATCAACACTAATTCGGCTGACTTTTATATTTGATCCAATTGGTAGATAGGCTGTATTTACACCATAACGGTGCACAGCTGATAGAAAGGGACACCTACTGGTTAAAGCACGTTATTGCATTTTATAATTTTATTATTAGATATTAATAGGAAGATGTGCAAAACAGACAAACTAATAAGGCTTTATTTAAACATTAAGGAATACTTTAGGTTAAGGTCTTCTTTTGAATAAGAAAAAAGCTTTGGGGGTATAGAAGATGAATATGGAGGGATGAAACCCTCTCTGATGGTCACACATGCAGAGCACACAGCACACACAGTGACATTTGTATCTACAGATAAATATTAAGCCTGACAAAGTACTTAACGTCTAATATATTGCTTTCCTGCAATGTTAACTATGTTGAAGCACTTATTTTAACTGATATTATACATATGTATTATACTCTTATAATATGTATGTAGATAGTATAAGAAATGTGCAGAATATGACAATGTAATGGTGGAGGTACACACATATTGATAGATGTCTTGTAATGCACTGTTGAGGAACCTGCAACCCAAGTTTTTCATTCATTGCATAACTACACCGTGTATAATATGATATGTCAATAAACCTTAGAAAATCTTGAAAGGGATGTGCAAAATAGTCATTATATACAGTCTTTAATTAACTATTAGTAGAGAATAACGACGAGTAAAGAATATACTTTATAGGGATCCTATTCATATCTAATAATAAAATGATAAAATGCAATAACGTGCTTTAACCAGTAGAGGTGTCCCTTTCTATCAGCTGTGCACCGTTATGGCGTAAATACAGCCTATCTACCAATTGGATCAAATATAAAAGTCAGCCGAATTAGTGTTGATACTGCAAGGAGACGTATTGTGTGAAAAGAAATGTAAGATGTTGTTTAATTGCTTATATATTTAAGATCCACGTCAAGTTTTCAGTTTTGGCGGCAGTTCCTGTTTGTCTAGAAGTCTTGTCATCAGGGCTCTATACATAGAGTTAACTACGGCAGATATGTCATATTTAATGCAGCCGAAACGTGTATTACAATGCCGTTATGTGATGACTTTCAAAGAGAAAAGCAAGCACACTCGGAATAATGTATTATTTAATTGTTTTATACAGTCTATGGTTGCTACAGAGGATTGTGGGTAATTCCTCCATGGGATCTTATTTCGGAAAAAGTATGCATTGAAGTCAATGGAGAGAGAAAGATTATCTTTCGATCCCGTTTGAATTGTGCCACGAATTACACATATGATGTTTTTCAATCTTAAATAATAATTTCCATGTCAAAAAAGTCACAGTTTGTCGTAAAACTGTTGAAATATAAGACTATGAAATGTGTGTGTATGTACAGCTCTCAACATGCCCAGACTTGTAGTGATTTTCACCTCTTTTAATACCACATTACGTCACACGTTTGATGCACGGCCGTGATTGAAAATGTCTTTATTTAAAAAATACGGGGAATACGGATCTTGGGGTCTCCCCTGGGTCTCCCTCCATGCTCCCTGTGCTCAGATGCGACGCGTCATATGACGTCACATGTTTGGCATGTCTTGATTGAATATGCTTTATTTAAAACAAGGACAATAAACAAAGCAGTCTTCACAACGGCCGGACAAAATACTTTGAGCCGCCCTATAGCCAAAGCCCGAGACACTGTTTAAAGCATAATAAAGACAATATATAGAGAGCATAATGTTTTTAATGCAATGCAGCAACGTATGCTTCAGCAGAGAATGGCCCGCGGCGGGAAGCATTCACTCGCGATCTCAAGAAGCCTATGGACATCCCGGAAAGTTGAAAATGTACGCTAAGGGCCGCCCCCCTTGCGTTGGAAAAAGACCACAGGGGACCTTGACATAACGTCAACATACGCCGACCTGGGAGTGAGGATGTGTTGCACAGGGGGATAGATGGCATCTGTCACATTTGTCATTTACATTGGGGTATATTTTGGATAGCCAGGATTTGGAAAAGTGTGATCTGTGTAAAACTTTAAACTGTATGAGCCCAATGCGAACACATGAGGTGGAAGTTCGCACTCTGTCAATTGCCTTATCCCACCAGTCTTCAGGTAGTTCCAAGTTCAATTCCTGCCGCCAAGCCATTTTAGTTTTGCTCATAGAGTATGTATCTAGTGACATAATATGTGAATAGATTTTGGAGATAGACCCCCTCTCTCCGGGCCTTAATTTCAAGAGGTCATCCCAGGATTGTTTGGGAGGGAGAGTGGGGAAGTTAGGAAAATGGGAGGAGACAAAATGCCTGACCTGAAAATAGCGAAAAAGATGGGATGCTGGTAAAGAGAATCTAGAAGCCAGGGTCTGGAAGCTAGAGAAAGTGTCATTTACAAAAAGGTCTTGGAATGACCTTATGCCTTTCCTTTTCCAGACAGAGAAAACACAGTCCATTAAAGATGGGGGGAAGAGATGGTTCATATCGACTGGACCCTGAAGGGATGCAGAGGAAAACTTAAAGTGCTTGCTAAATTGGTACCAAATCTTCAGTGTAGAAAGGACTATGGGATTACTAGTAAAGCGAGAGAGGCTTGACTGGGGAGAAGAGCAGATAAGAGCAGGTAGCAAAGTCGAGGTGAGGGAGTGAGCCTCCAGGTGGCACCATGGCACATCTGGAGCACATAGCCAGACAAATCACAAATGAAAGTATCTTCCAGGACGATGTTGAAACCGTTTCGTCACATAAAATAAAGAAATCGTAACTTCTCTGCAGTGCAGCAGTCAAAAAACCGTGTGGCTTCACAACCAAAAAAGAACACAGAGTCTGAAACAATGCGCACCGTGTTTTGGAAGTAATATGGTCTGTTTTTACATTAGCAATCATCGCTAACACTCAGAGCTAATGCTGTACTGGAGAGAGTATGTGTAAAAAAGTAGGATATACAAATATACTCACCTTTTGGTAAACCTGAGAGAGAAAAAGCATTTGAGCTCAATACTGTTTCAGAAATAATCCTTGATGTGGTTTGGAACATGATATGGAGTTTAATCACGGCAGCATTTAGCTGGGAATCTGCTTCTCTCTCTCTCTGCAGCTCTGCTGCATGTTCAAGGTTCAAGGCTTTTATTGGTCATATGTACATAGCTACAGTGTAGTTATGTCGATTAAAATCTTAGGTCACGGCCTCCTCCAACAGTGTAACACAATAAAACAGAAAAACTGAAAAAATAGTGCAAGTAAATAAAAAAATAAAAAATAGTAATAAAGTGAAATAGTGCAATAAGAGTCTATATGCAAGTGATTGGAATGTGATATATTAGATAAATAATTTCTGATGAGTTCCAATGGGGGCGTGGCCCCGTAGCTACTGACCCAGAATCAGCACTTTTGTAACAGCTGAAATAGAGGGGCATGAGGCTACAATGGGTGATCTGTTTGGTATTTTGAGCAAAACACAGAGACATGTTCTGTATAGATATGGCCCTATAATATATTGTTGAAATATAGCACAATAGGTGAGCTTTAATGGCTTATTTGTAAGCAGGTTTAACATGTATATTATGCTTTATACATAGATTGGTTTGCCATTTTTGTAAAGACAGATTTAAAAGACAATTATTTGGGATGAGCTCTATCTACTCTTACTATTGCATTTTTAATCAAGAGAAACTGTTCAAAAATGTAGATTAGAAAGATGTTCCTTATTGAAATAGTTGTTGCTTCTTGACATCATATAAGTGCCCTACATACATGTCATATTATACATAGCAAGCTTTTCCTGTACTTGTTTTCATGATGCACAAATAGCAAAAGGGAGCACATAATAGTGCTTCAGCTGAGTGCTACATCCTACACATTTTCATTTTGTACATGTCGTCTTTTACAGATGTGGATCTGAGAGCACTCCATTCACTTGAAGAGCAGAAGACACACTTTTATTGCACAGACCACTAGTCTAAAAGGTTTTCTAGAATGAATTAGTACCTCTTTGGAGGCCTGGTCCAGGTATCCCCTGATTGTAAATTCACTACTTCAAAAACAAAATAATGTCTGCATTGTTGTCCAAACAGCTTGCTCTTCTTTCAATACAAAACAAAAGCAAATTGATGAAATCAGAGACAGGGCCTCCTGTTTACATAATTCCACAGCAAGAACAACAAATCTATGAAAAAGGGTGCAAGAAATTCAGTTTTGGGAAAGAGTCCAAAACTGTTCAAACTAATCGCACCATAATGGTTCTCGGAGCAACTGGGGCTGGGAAGTCAACTCTCATCAATGGGATGATCAACTACATTCTAGGTGTTGAATGGGAGGATCCATATCGGTTTAAGTTAGTTGATGAGGATCAGTCGAGATCTCAAGCTGAGAGCCAGACCTCTGAAGTCACTGTGTACAACATCAACCACCAAGAGGGCTTTAAAATCCCTTTCTCTCTGACCGTTGTTGATACTCCAGGTTTTGGAGATACAAGAGGAATAAAAAGAGACGAGGAGATCACAGAACAGATTCGTAGTCTCTTCTCTGCCAAGCATGGTGTCACTGAAATTGACGCTGTGTGTCTTGTAGTTTCAGCTTCTTTAGCTCGGCTCACACCAACACAGAAGTATGTGTTTGATTCTGTGCTCTCAATCTTTGGCAAAGATGTGGCAGAAAACCTCCAGATTCTGGTGACATTCTCAGACGGCCAACTCCCACCAGTTCTAGAGGCGATCAAAGCTTCAGGTGTCCCATGTCCTAAAACAAAACACGGGCTGCCAGTTCACTTCAAATTCAATCATTCTGCATTGTTTTCACAGAACAAACCATCTGATGAGGAAGATGAAGGCTTTCATCAGATGTTCTGGAAAATGGGGGCAAAAAGCATGAAGAGGTTCTTTGTTGCTTTAAATACGATGACAACCAAAAGCTTGACAATGACAAAGGAAGTCCTCAGAGAAAGAAGGCAGCTCCAGATCTCAATGGAAGATTTGCAACAGCAGGTTAAAGTAGGGTTAGCCAAGCTTGAGGCGATAAAAGAGACAACTGAACAACTTAAACTGCATGAAGCAGAGATCAGCAGAAATAAGGGATTTGAGATTGAAATAGTCGTCATAAAGCCTGTTCAAATAGACATATCTGGCTCTGGAACCTTCATCACCAACTGCCAGGTGTGTAATGTCACCTGTCATTCAGAATGTCCATATGCCAATGATGAAGATAAAAGAAAGAGTCCTGCAATGGGACGAGATGGAAACTGTACTCAGTGTCCAGGAAAATGTCATTGGAGTCAACATTTTAACATGAAGTACAGATGGGAGTATAAGGAGGTTAAAGAAAAGCATACAGTGAAGGAGCTGAAAGAAAAGTACCTGAAGGCCTCAAAGGCTAAGGGAACTGTTCAGGAAAGGATAGACGAAATGAAGGCTGAATATAAGCGTCTTCAGGCTGGAGTGACGGAGATAATGCAGAGGTCTGCTGAGTGTCTGAACAGACTAGGAGAGATCGCACTGAAGCCAAATCCTCTCTCCACTCCAGAGTACATTGACCTGCTCATTGAGGGAGAGAAATCTGAGGCCGAGTTAGGCTGGAAGCAACGAGTCGAGTACCTGAAGGACATGAGAGGACAAGAAGAGCTCATGGGTAAAGCAAGGAGAGGAGAACACCTGCTTTAAAGTCCTGAGTCTCTAACTGAGCGCCCAGAGGAGACCGGTGACATGTTTAAAAAACAAATGAGAGAAGGTTGTAAGTTGAGCTGATCAAGGCCCAGGGAAGGAGGAAGCCAGAGGAATAGGAGGGGTAAAGTCAGGATATTTTGTGTCTTCGAAAGGCATTTGTGATTTGCTGTTGATTTTTGTTGTTGTGTTAAAATGCGAAGGCAAAGTAATATTTTTCCAGGCAAAGTTAATGAAACTGAAACAGTTTGAAGCCAAATATTTAGAGTACATTGACCTGCTTATTGAGGGAGAGAAACCTGAGGCCAAGTCAGGCTGGAAGCAACGAGTCCAGCACCTGATGGAGATGAGAGGACAAGCAGAGCTCATGGGTAAAGTAAGGAGAGGAGAACACCTGCTTCAAAGTGAAGAATCTTAATCTGAGGGCAACATCAAGACCAGCTCCAACTGAGACCAAGACAAGAGCTGAACATGATATCAAAGAAGAGACGTGTAAATACACAATTAAACAAGACAGGATAGTGAGTGATACTGATCAAGAGTCCTTGATGGCCATCACAACCAAGTGACCATGACACAAATGTTCATGGGACATGTATGTTTTTTATTCTGTTCTTACAAAGTTATCGTTTAACTGTTTTTTTTAAATTACATCACATGTCACTTGTAAGTCGCTTTTATCCAAAGCGACTTACATACTCAACACTGTGGACAATCCCCACAGGAGCAATTTGGGGTGAAGTGTCTCAGGGACACAACGACATGCTGACTGCAGTGGGGTTTGAACCTGTGCCCCCCTGATCCAAACACCAAGGCTCTATCCACTGCGCCACCCGCCTCCCTTTAATCAGCTCAAAGGCTTTCTCTCTTGCCGGTTATACCACAAGGTGAGTTCCTTTGTATTTCCTGCTTCTTCACACACATGCTCTCCAGTACAGGTTAGCTCTGAGTGTTAGCGATGCTAATGTAAACACCGACCATATTACGTCCAAAACAGTCTGGCATTGTTTCTGATAGCAACGTTTCTGATAGGGCCGTGGGTCCACATTTCAGATATTACGTCATATCGGACGCTAATCTGGATCAGCTCCGTTGTTCCCCCGTTTTTAGAGATTTGGGTACGGAGGAAAAGAGAGAGGGTTTTATTTTCTGACGCTGCGTGAGTTCCCTGACACACCCGGGACTTATGTATAAAAGACATCAAAAAGTGCATTTTGCATGATAGGTCCCCTTTAAACTATCTTTCATATTATAATGTTGCATGGTAGAAAGCTGCAAACAACTAGAATATATTATTATTATTTAATAACTTCCTATTGGAGGGTTTGATTACTTCCTGTTGGAGGGTTTAATAGAGTGGTGCAGGAGGACGTATTTACCCGGAAGTAAGCTGCGCATGGGTTCCCTCGACAAAAAAGCAATGGGATTTCTCCATAGGATTTTGGAAAATAGCTCAAAATAAGGTCTGTGGAAAACGAATCTGTTTGACTGCAACCAGTCATAGGAGTTAAAATGCAAAGCCTGAACGACGACAAGAGCGAGAGACTTACATTTTACAGGATAATTAATACCAGAGCAGTGTGTACATACTGTAGGCCCTGTGCGACATGCAGAGTACATTTTTTAGCAGCAAAGTAACTATACTCAAAGTATATATATACATATTAGCTAGTGGAGCCTCGCAGCGGCGACATCCGTGCCGCGTCACACTAATTGCGCCGCATAAGCGCATAGGTGCGCCGCATTTGCGGCTCAGTTGAGGCCCCCTCCGCAAGGTGAGGCCCCACGCAGTCTGCGTGATCGGCCTGTAGGGAGGGACGGCCCTGCCTCCAGAAGGACTTTTAGCGTGTTTTCCAGTAGAGAGAGCTGTCAGAGCGGTTCCTCTCAGAAGAGCAGCTGCTGGGCACTCCCAACCGTTAGCGCCAGTCAAAACCATGTTTTATACCGCTTTGTTTCAACTACTGCTGTTTCGCGGTTCCTGTGTCCCGCCCTCTCTGTATGTCTCTCTCTCTCTCTCTCTCTCTCTCTCTCTCTCTCTCTCTCTCTCTCTCTCTCTCTCTCTCTCTCTCTCTCTCTCTCTCTCTCTCTCTCTATTTATTTAGCTAAAATGGTAATCCAACTTCACCAGCTATAACATAATGTGTACCATCTTCCCCATGCTGGTCTTGCTGGTGATACAGCTTCACCAGCATGTTTTTTCAGCAGGGAACGTTTTAAAATGAGCATCTCTTGGATTCAAAATAACAAAAATAAAACTCCAAAAATCTTTAATGGCGTTTCTTTTTTGTAAACTTGTTTAAAGATCTGATGTTTATTAGCTGCTTTGGTTTTGCAACAGTCCCTGTAAATATGCACACATGTAACGTGACTAAACACGGGTATATCCTAAGTCCAAAGAAAAAAGGAGGGAACATGAAGTTGTTAACATCTGTATGACGATATTAAATGTCTAACTTGTTGTGCAGTTTGTCAGTGAATGTTCCATGACGCTTATTTGTGCCGGAGGAGCGAGGAGCGATAAACGAGGAACCACCAGACCATCCTCCCGTGAAATCCTCAGCCACTCGCAGTTTATACTGTGTTTTGTTTCAATTAATGCTTCACGTGACGCTCCGGAGGAAAGGACGTCCCATTGCTCTTAAAACTCATTTCCCTGCTTCTTCTCCCTTCTCGTGGTTTCCTTGCGTCTCTCCATGCTTCCCTGGTGGGAGGGACTAAGACGCAGGGAAAAGACGCAGGTGAGGGACGCAAGGATGGAAGTTAAGAGAAGTGAGACGCAGCTCGGGACAGTGGCGGTTCTAGACCAATGTGACTGGGGGGGCCAGGCTGGGGCCAGTTATTTTCTGAGGGGGGCGCAATAAATGCAGGATGAAAAAGATAAAGACAGTATGAAGTAATTGCTCATAAGAAAACAATGCAAGACAGTTATTGGTATTTGTTTCAGTACACATATTTATTTCAGATACTTATAGTTACAGTTTTTAGTTTCAGTAACTATAATTCCGTCATCCAAGAAATTGTTTAATCATAAACTTTTCATTTTCAGGGGGGCCAGAGGGGGGTCCAAAGTGAGTGTTACTGGCCCCCCTGGCCCCCCCGTAGAACCGCCCCTGGCTCGGGATAAACCTCTCGACTTCATGACGAGGCAACAGGAAGTGTTGAATGCTGACTCCCTTCCTGCAGCTCTCTCTTGCCATGTAAGGAATGAAGGAACACACCTTGTTCTGATACACGAACAAAGGATCATTCACTTAAACTGTGATCTTGAAGTTTGTACTTTGTCCTTTGTATTTTTATTTTTATATTTCTCTTATCTCATCTCTTTAACGTCACGCCTCTCTGAAGGAGAATCAACGATCTCAGGTTTTTCTCAACAAACAGCAGCATCTCTGGTGAGTTTCCTACAAATCTCAAACACACTGAATACTTCTGTTAGAACCACAATCTGATTTAAAGAAATCTCAAGGTGCGTGAAAGGTGCCATATAAATAAAGTGTATTATTATTATTATTATTATTATGTATTGCCATTTGTGGTTTCAGGGATATTAAAAGACCATATATGCAATATCTCTTAAGTGAAAACCAAATATCACAATATGTTGACCAAGTCCGTGGATCAGGAGATGGTTGATTATTGGTGCTTTCACAACATATTCACACAATGAGATTTCTGATGAATAATCTAATGTTAATATAACAGCTAAGTGAGTAAAATCATATTATAAAACAGTCTGATAAGATTAGATCACTTTTCTGAAATGCACCCAGGATAAGACAATTATGGGATGTAACAATATCAGAAACCTAACACAGACCCTAATCTCTTATCACGATACTGATATTATTATAGAATATTTCATTGCCCTGTACAGTATTTAATTGTTCATTTCTACATTGTGCTCTCACTCGTTTTTACATGTATATAGTTTACTTATTCCTGCATTTACGTACACGTGTTTCTTTTTATGTTTTCAAATTGCAGAGGAGCCTGGGTCTTACATTTCTTTGCTAAAACGACAAATCATGAACCTTTAGTCTTTGAGTGATGTCAGTCTATGGCCCAGCCCTCATCTGATCGTAGACTCAGCAGTTCCTTGGAAGCGCCCTGTGAGAAGGTCCATGCAGCGTTTACAACTCCCGCTGCCTCAATAAAGCCACACACATTGTAAAGGACAGCTCCCACTACGGTGTTCTAAAGTGCAGACCTGTGATGAGGACCCAGCTCTGAAGAATAACACAAGTGTTATAACCTAAAGCAAAACAAATGTCCCAAACTACAGGAAGTACTTGAGGAGTAGTGGAAACAAGACTCAGCAGTTTGACATCACTACAGTGATCAGGAGGAGGCAGACACAAGGATGGTGCCATACATCTTGCAGAGTCATATTCCTGCATCATTGTGAGGTCTGATGACACAGATGTGGAAGTGCTGCTCATATATTATGCAAGCAAATACATGTTTGGTTCATCTCTAATGTACTTGCATGCAGGCCATGGAATGAGAGAGAGAAATGTCCCCATCAGCACCATATGTGAGAACATTGGAAAAGACATGTCTAACTGTCTACCAGCATGTCATGCACTCACTGGCTGTGGCACAACAAGTAGTTTGTACAGAATAGGAAAGACAACAGCATTCACCAAACTCAAGACCCATTACATCACATGTTACTTGTTAGACGCTTTTATCCAAAGCGACTTACATACTCAATACTGTGGACAATCCCCACAGGAGCAATGTGGGGTGAAGTGTCTCAGGGACACAACGACATGCTGACTGCAGTGGGGTTTGAACCTGTGCTCCCCTGATCCCAACACCAACGATCTATCCACTGCGCCACACGCCACCCATCTCAGCGAGCTCAAAGATCTGGCCCATTTTGGACTCTCTGCCAGCTTGGAAGAGTCTTTGCCAGTCGCAAGAGAATTTGCGCTTCTGCTATATGGAAAAAAGGAAATGGAAATTGGACTGATGTGCACAAACTTGGATGAACTGAGGTTCATAACTGCATCAACAACAGATGCAGCCTCAGACAATCTGCCGCCAACAGAGGATGCATTTCAACAACATGTAAAGAGCAATGTTTCACACAGTGATATGGTGTCACAGCCCGAACACAAACCCTTCACTGTAAAATATTACCATGATTTCACAATATTTAGCTGTAATATTTTACAATAAATTACTGTTTTACCACTTTACAGTCTTTACCTGTAATGTTCACAATATAATACTGTCATTTAGAATTTCACAGGGAATTCAAGACCTCTTTTTGTTTCCCGTTTTGCTTGTGTGAGCAAACGGCTGATTATCAATAAATTCTCATTACCAAGTACCGGTTTTTGCGTGTATTCTTTCATGTTGCGGGTCTCAGCACGAGCCACTACCGCGGAGTAGAGGTTGGGGCCGTAACAACATGTCCAAGACACTGTGAAATGTACTTTGCACTTCAATGGAGTAATACAAAGTTAAAATGGGCATTTTCTTTTTCTTTGTTTTTCTTTGTTGATTGAGCTGATTGAATTGTGTAGTTATGGTAAAATCCCAGTTAACTAGTCAAATTTCGTATTATTTACATTTTTATATTTACAGTAAATTACTGGCTACTGTGTTGCATTACTTCTACAGTAAAAGTGTGAAAATACAGGTAATTACTGTAATTGATGTACAGCAAGGAGCCATAATACCACAGCTCTGTACTGCTATCACAGTAATTCCATGGGCATGGCAACTGTAAAGTCACAGTATTTAGCTGTACTTTTATTCTAATTTACTGTAAAATATCTACAGTAAATTACTGTGAAATATTTACAGTCAATTACTGTGAAATATTTACAGTCAATTACTGTGAAATATTTACAGTCAATTACTGTGAAATCCATGCAACTAGTAGCCAGTAATTTACTGTAATTTTACAGCCAAACATTTTACAGTGTTGTTATGGAGTCCTGTTGGCAAGGGGTGGATTGTCAGAGATGGGGCCATTCAACCAGTGCTATTTACAAAACCCCCAGCACCTACAGAAGTGAGAGACATTACTCACTTGCATTGCAAAGATGCAAAGTGTGGAGAGAGTAGAAAGTGCCAGCGCCTCTCTGTTGGCCTTCCCTGTACTTCCCCTGCACCTGCTGTGCAGAATGTCAAAATGTGTCCCCTAACGTTTCTGAGGAACCTGACATTTAACATTATATTCTAGTATCTGTATACTTGACCTCTCACATAATTATTTGACGATTTGTATACTGTACTTTGAATTAAGGTTCCAGTTTCAATAAAACCTGTACTATTTACACCTATGTTTTAGAGGCTTGCAATTTAGAACTAATACACTTTATTGTATTGGGTTACTCTTATTCTGACTATTTGGTGATGTAGTTCAGCCACCTGGTATTTCCCTCTCCAAATATGATGACTATCAGAGTGAGCATTCTTAACTTATAGGCTATTATGCCACTTATCCCCTATTCGGAATTTGACTGTGTCAGAGAAGAGGTAGGCCTATGTCTAAAGAAATCTCATTTGCAATAGAACTGTACCAGATATTTCCATACAACTACTGGTTAGTGTTCAATAGCACGCTAGACAATTCAGTAAGGGCATATTTTTTAGGGATTTCTGTTTTTCTGATAAATGAGAGAAAAGTAATGGAGTCCTATGTTCCTATCACCAAAAAGTACAATTTCCGTCTAAACTAAAGCTAAGTTTACAGGACTATAATTCAGTATTTTTTTCGTTAAATAATTGTCTATTTGGTGATGTAGGACAGCCACCTGGTTCATACCTCAGCAAATCTGAAGAGGAAAAGAGTGGTCATTCTCAAGTTATGGGCTTTTTTGTCACCTTTCCCATTCGGCCTGGTCTAATTTGGCTCTTTTTCAGGGATTGGGGTAGTTCTAAAGAACAACCAAAAAAAAAGTTTTTTCCCCCAAAATAAAATTTGACAACAATCAATTTCATTAATGGGAGACCCTAAAGATAAGAAAAATCATTGTTGTGTTTTGTTCTACCTCGGGTAGGGGTATCTCGAAATCTGAGGACCCTTCCTGCTAGACTATAAAGAGAGAACAATCCAATATTTAAATGAAACTACATTGTGTGGGTATGCTTTTGTTGAACGGTCTGTTTAAAATTAATCGGAGCATCAGACTAAAAAAGCTTTTGAATAAAACAGAATATTTCGATCAAGGTCAAAATATAATAATATTTGTAAATCTGACTCTTTAAGAGTCAGTGCCTCACCAGCCATGAAACTCACCGCACGTCACTGCTAAAAGTGTTTATGGGTATTGTTTGTGATATCAGGCTGTGTGCAGTTTGCCCTGAGCAGTTTGTGTGAGCAGCCACCAGAGGGCAGCATGGTGCAGGTTTGAACCAGCAGCTGACAGGAGGCTGATGGGATGTTAAACCCAGCACAGATAACAGCATGCAGCTCGCTCTGTAGTATGAAACAGATTGATACACATACACACAAAGAAATACAACATACAGTACAGGTTGATGTGTTGATGGAAATATACACAAAGGATGCACTCTGTTTAGTAGAGTGAAGGGATGTCTTGATTCATTTTGAGGTCACTTTCAAGTAGTGTAGTAGTCTTGGGTCCATTTCTAGAAGAGGTCTCATTATTCAAGTTTATGTGTAAATGTATCTATAGTCGTTGTGTCTGTTTGTATTTATTTGATGTAAAGGACCCCCGATGCATCAGCCAGACATCGCCATCAGCTGATGTTTGACATCATTTCTGCCATCCGCAGATCAGCAATAAAAGATGACATTAGGCGATGGCAGTAGCTGATCTTAATATGTTGTGCTGGGCCATGTGAAGTGCCCACATTGCCTACGTTCAGATCAGGGCTGGGCAATATACTGATATTACTTAAAGATAAAAGGTTCAAAGATCAAATGGTTTTATCGTCATATGCACAACAGTTGTAGTGTAGTTTTAGCCAGAGCTTGAAGTGGGGATAAAAGTGCCACGCCCTTATTCACATATTAGCATGTTTATCAGTAAACAATTATTACAGTGAATAACAAGCACAGTCCTTCTCAGTCTGCTCCAGGTTGAATTACACTGCCCTTCATTTGAAATACCAAACATATATCTATAGGTGGAGATGAAGCCCTTCAGAGCTTAGATCAAAGAGTGCAGCGTGTACAAAAGATTAGATCTAATAGAGTATCTTACTCAAGGTCAAGTACAAGTTAGCGTACATAAATACATTTTACCAAAGAAAAATGACTTGCAAATAAATTGACAGAGAAAATTGAAAAATATATAAAACACTTCAGCCTTGGATAGACATCAAGGAAATAATGAAAAGAAGTGCAATAAAGCTGTGAAAGTGACACAACTGTTTACATAAATTATGCCAATCATCCCCTCTCAATAAATTAAAAGCTTTTTCTGTTTATTTATTATTTTATAAGATGAGTGAAAAATAATTTATTTAAATTAAATATGTCTTATCATCATAAAAAGTAACGTGTAATAATGGATTATGATGGATGACGAGAGTGTAGTAATGTGTACAGCAGCTCAAGTAGCTTTTGAAAAGTTATCTTTGAATTTGGGCTTGATTGAGTTAGTGTCAATTTGTGGAGTTTTTGTGTCTCTTTGTTGAGTAGAAAGGTCTAATTGAAATCAAAATGTGAGCATGGTTGGACATGATATTACCAAATCATTGAAGTTAACTAACGAGCTGTTGTCGATTCTTTTCAGTTCATTCGGAGCGATGACCTCTGAAGGCAGCGGGATGATGGAGGTGGCGGCGCTCGGACGGCCTTTCGGTCTTGGGATGTTGTACGACTGCCGCAACGACTCTCTCGTCCCTGGTGAGGAAAAAATGTCACCTTTAAAACCGGACATTTTCTTTTTTGCCAGGAACGAAACACACAGATGAAAAGTTATTTGAAATTTGTTTTTGAAAGCATGGATTAGATGTGTGTGTTGATGGAAGACACAGGTTTGGACTATCTTGTTTATGTGAGGCTCAAATTCAGATTCTGGTCAATATAAACCCAGGTTTCCTGAGTAGGGTTAGACGTTGGGTTCTGATGTAGGATTTATGTCAGAGATCCCTCCACAGAGTAAAGGGGCAGATCAGGACACTTTGAAATAGGTTGCCCAAATCAATTCTATCAAACACCACAAATCATGGTTGATTGGGATCCGAGGAATGCTTGACATATATAAACCAGAGAATATTAAACAGAAGAGTTTGTTTTATATTGAACCAGCGTAGTCTTGGGAAATTATGGATGGTAGCCTTTAGTCCAGGATATAATCCAACATATTAACAAACAATTTACAATTGTTACAACACTAAAGATCTACATATAAAGGTAGCAACGACAAATAATAGGATCATTTTTCAATAGATAAGAGACAGAGGCCTGACAGAAAGTAAATGGTGGCCCGCAACAAAATTACCGAAAACATAGAAGAAGTTTGGCAACAACTTGGCACCAAATATCTTCAAATATTCAACTGAGATTCCACCAGCGCATGAGCTAAAGGACAGAATTCAGCTATGACATTTTGATATAAATAATGTCCGCTTAGGTGCCCTGTTGGATGACCTCCAGGTCTTGTTTGATTTCAGCATGGAGACCAGCACTCTAGTAGACGCCAGGTGTGACATGAAGTGTCCATCTTGGCTTTCACTACCTGCAGGAAAGCTTTCTCATCAGGGTTATTTTGGCCGGTGATGGATGCTGGAGAAAGTTGTGCTGTCATTATCCTTTATTTGAGAGCAGCGCTAGTCAAACTATACACAGTGACTTTGGTTGAATACTTTTAGTTTAACATGCCATGACAATCACAAAATGTTCTACAATGTGAAGGCTACTGATTGCTGTTATCTGTCACTGTTACCGCTGAACTGGAAGTTATTTGACTTTTATTGTTTATTGGAATAAACTCAGGACGGCCAGATGACAGCATCAACCGAAGGTGTTCAGAAATCACAGAATTAAAAAACGATGAACTAATTATCATCTGTTTCGTGGTACTACCGTAGAAATCACCCCAAATAACACTGTATCCAAGTGTACCTGAGGGCACCAGAAGAACCTGAGATCTGCACCACTCTGTCAGGTTCACAACAAGGATGCAGTGTAACAGTCATGACAATAGTCAAGTACATTAAACTGATTTGTGTCTTTTTGTCTTGTAAGCAAGACAAGCTTTCTCTATTATCATAAATGGAGATCATTGATAGACATGCACCCCTACGTAAATTTAGAGTGAAGGGACGAGACAATCCTTGGTTTCCTGCTGAACTGTCCAGTCTCCTGCATGAGAGAAACAAGGCCTGGGCAAAGGCTAGGAAATCAGGCTCAGAGGTAGAATGGCTGCGTTTTAGGCAGGTAAGAAATAGCTTCACTTCACATGTCAAAAGTGCTAAGTCTAAGTACTATTTGTCAGTTACCACAGAAAACCTGAATAATCCTAGGAAATTTTGGAAAGCCATAAAATCGATATCCACCGGTGAGATCCGTAATGAGCTACCTCCGTGCCTTACCACAGCATCTGGCTCTATATCGGACAGGGCCACCATGTTACATTGCTTTAATGAGCATGTTGTGTCCTGTGGCTCTCTGTTTGATTCTGTGACTAACTCTGCTTCTGTGAACACCTCAGTCTGTGACTCTGAACAATGTGCTCTGGAAAACCCTTTCAGTTTTACTCCTTTTACTGTTAATGTTGTTCATGAAGCTTTAACCCAGTTAGATCCTAAGAAACCGGCCGGCCCGGACAACGTAGAACCTTTCTTTTTAAAGATAGCTGCAGATTTTATTGCTCCACCTCTCACTACTCTTTTTAACCTCTCCCTCAGCACAAATGCAATTCCAAAAGTATAGAAGTCAGCGTATGTCCTGCCTTTGCTGAAAGGAGGGGAGGCAACTATTTTAAATAACTATAGGCCCATCTCTAAATTATCAGTTCTGGCTAAGGTGCTCGAACGCCTAAAGGAGTTTTTATGTACAAATGACATCCTGTCTAAACATCAGTCAGGCTTCAGAAAGCAACATAGCACCATCACTGCCACAATGAAAGTGCTGAATGATGTGGCGAGTATTTTAGATAATAAGCAGAGCTGTGCAGCTCTATTTATTGACCTTTCCAAAGCGTTTGATACCGTCGATCATCGCATCTTAAAGCAGAGGCTACTCAGTATTGGCATATCCAGCCATGCAGTGGGTGGTTTGTGAACTACCTCTCTGAAAGGTCCCAATGTGTTCACTTTGATGGGCTGTCTTCTGAGTGGTTAAACATTACTAATGGTGTTCCTCAAGGTTCTGATTTAGGTCCACTTTTATTCTCCATCTATATCAACAGTTTAGGTGAAAATGTGGATGAAGCTACTTTACATTTTTATGCGGATGACACCGTGATGTACTGTGCAGGTCCCTCCATTAAGGAGGCTGGTGTTAAATTACAGGCTGTTTTTAACATTATTCAGACTCAGCTCTCTGAACTTAAGCTTCTTTTAAATGTTGATCAAACCAAGGTAATGCTCTTTTCAAAAGCTAAAAAGACTCCAGAGACTGCTTTGTATATTGTGACTATGCAAGGACAAGTACTCCAAGTGGTTACCTGTTATAAATACCTTGGTATCTGGCTTGATGATTGTCTTACTTTTAAACTTCAGGTCATTAATCTGCTTAAAAAGCTGAGGGTTAGATTAGGTTTCTTTTTCAGAAACAAGTCCTGTTTCTCACTTGAAGCCAGGAAAAGGCTCTGTGACCTTTTGACCTGTGCTGGACTATGGTGATCTGATCTATATGAATGCACCTGCCCATTGCCTGGAAAGGTTAGATGCCGCCTATCACAGTGCACTGAGATTTGTTACTAACTGTAAAGCACTTACTCATCACTGTACCCTGTATGCCAAGGCCGGTCTGCCTTCACTTACTGTACGGAGGCTCAGTCATTGGTACATATTCATATATAAAGCCATGCTGGGTAAACTCCCAACTTATATCTGCTCTCTGATCTCACGGAGAGTGGCAAGTAGCTATTGCCTGAGATCCCAGGATGTGTTCTTATTACATGTGCCAAGTGCTAGGACTGTTTTAGGTACTAAAGCTTTTATGTGCGCTGCTCCTCTAGCTTGGAACACCATGCAAAAAACATTGAAACTGAGCATTCTGATTCCCTTGCATCATTTTAAAGCACGGCTGGATGAAATGTTATTGGATACCTGTCACTGTGAATAGGTTGCTAATTTATACCCCTGTAATTATGTTGTGATGTCCTTTTTGTTTTCTGTTGTTATTATGTGTAACCAATGTACCGCAGGTCTCCCTTGAAAAAGAGATCGTTGATCTCAATGAGATTTTTCACCTGGTTAAATAAAGGCTACAAAATTCAGACAAACATTTTTTCTCAGGAATCGCATCACTGAACAAATCATTCTATATTTCAGTTCCTAACAACAGGAAAGCTACAATTAATGGAAGGACAATGTGTTGATTCCCCTTAAAGTTATAGTGTGTATTAACATCAAATTTGGTTCTAGCTTGATTTCTGGTTCTTCTTTTGCAGGAATCACTTTGTGGGACCGTGATGACCTTAAAAAAGATATTGGAGAACGACCACAGAACTATAATGATTGTGATATAGTTGCATCTGAATCAATTGAGGACAAATCTTCAGCACTAAATGTTAAAGCATCGCTGAAGGCTAGTTTCTTGAGTGGACTGGTAGAGGTTGGAGGATCAGCCAAATACCTGAACGATACTAAGACTTCCAAAAATCATATCAGAGTAACACTGAATTACCAAGCTACCACAAACGTCCAAGAACTGTCCATGAATCATCTTGGAAGAGGCAATGTTAAGCATCGAGATGTCTTTGATCAAGAAATAGCAACACATGTAGTTACAGGTATCCTTTATGGGGCACAAGCCTTCTTTGTCTTTGACCGTGAGGTGTCTGTCAACGAGAACCATCAAGACATTCAGGGACACTTGAATGTGATGATCAAGAACATTCCCTGCCTTTCAATAGAGGGCAAAGGCTCGCTGAAAATGGAAGAAAAGGACAAAGCAAAGGTTGATAAACTCTCCTGCAGATTCTTTGGAGACTTTTTGGTCCAGAAACCTCCAACATCCTTTCAGGAGGCAGTAGAGGTGTACCAAAGTCTGCCAAAGCTGCTGGGAGACAACGGGGAAAACGCAGTACCAGTGAAGGTCTGGCTGTTGCCTCTGACATTTTTAGATTCTACTGCTGCTAAACTTGTCCGTCAGATAAGTATAGGATTAGTTGAAGAATCTCAGAGTGTCCTGGAGGACTTCAGTGACCTGGAAATGAGGTTCAATGATGCACTGAGAACCCAAACTGCATAGCAGTTCCCACAGATTGGAAACAAACTCAAAACCTTTAAACAGAAGTGCTCTGAGTTCAAACTGGAATTCCAACAAACCCTGGCAAAGAAACTTCCATCAATCCGAGGAGGAGGAGAAGAAGAAGCTGTGCTCGCAGAGATCCTGAAGAAGACATGTTCTTCTCCTTTCAACAGCAAGGACCTGAACGAGTGGATGGACTGTAAGGAGAGAGAAATATACACCGTGATGTCTCTGACCAACATGATGACAAACACCAAGATCATCTCATCTCAAGACCTGTACAAAGAAAGCTTCAAAGCAGAGCAGTCTGTGTGTTTTGTCTTCACCTCGCTGGGAAGTGATGAACCGTACCTCTCAACTTTATCAAACTACCTTCAACAAACACCCAAACCAGACGATGCTCAAGATCCCCCCCCCTCCAGATCAATGGTACAACTCAAGAGAAGAAGGGGAAGCAATGCGGCATAAAGCAAAGCTCTTCAGTGATTTTGCAGAGGCCAACAAGGAGAACAAGAACATCACATTCCTGACGGTGGGTTTAACAAACGAGACACAGAGAGGTGCCAGCATCTACCTTTATACAGACGGCTTTTCTGTCAATGAGAACTTTGAGCCGCCTTCAAAGCCTGCAACAGTAACAGGAAGTGATATAAACCACAGCAGTGTGACGCTGAACATTTCTCCACCCAGATCTGGAGCAGAGGACATCACCTCCTACTCTGTTGAGTACTGTGTCAGAGGAGAGGACGACTGGAAACAAAAGACAGCATCCAAAGCTGAAGAAGTCACAGTGAGCGGCCTGAGTCCTAACACAGAGTACATGTTCAGATGCAGGGCAGAGACACCAGGAGGTGCCGGGCCAGCCAATGAAGTCAGTGGATCCATTCAAACCTTACCCTGCAGCCCTCCTGGAAAACTCCACGTTGAATCTACCTCACGTGAGATATCAGTCAGCTGGGAGAAACCTGCTGAGCTCGGACAAGATGTCCACGTTTTGAGCTACATCGTGGAGTACGCCGAACCAGACCAACAGGTGAAAGAGGAAGATCTCCACTGGGAGCAAATGATGGCGGGAGCTGAGAAGGCGATCATTTCAGGACTTCAGCCAGAGACAGAATACGCTGTCAGGGTCAGGTGTGATTGTGGTGCAGCTGGAAGAAGCAAAGAAAGCATCGCTGTTAATGTCCGCACAACAAAATGTGACCGTCTCAAAGAATTCCTCAAAAGTAAAAGCAAAAGGATCAACTCTGAATCTCCCTCAGTTTACAAACTGCCTCTGACAGAAGAAGACATGGAAGTTGATGGATGCCGAGGGTACACCTTTGGCAAAGAAAGCATGAGGCAAAATTGCACTATCATGCTTGTTGGAGCAACTGGATCTGGAAAGTCCACTCTGATCAATGGACTCATCAACTACATCGTTGGTGTAGAGTGGGAGGACGATTTCAGATTCAAGTTAGTTGATGAGGATCAGTCGAGATCTCAAGCTGAGAGCCAGACCTCTGAAGTCACTGTGTACAACATCAACCACCAAGAGGACTTTAAAATCAATTACTCTCTGACCATTGTGGATACTCCAGGTTTTGGAGATTCAAGAGGAATAAAAAGAGACAAAGAGATCACAGAACAGATTCTTAATCTCTTCTCTTCAGAGCGTGGCGTCAGTGAAATGGACGCTGTGTGTTTTGTAGCTCAGGCTGCTTTAGCTCGGCTCACAGCATCCCAGGAGTATGTGTTTGATTCTGTGCTCTCAATCTTTGGCAAAGATGTGGCAGAAAACCTCCAGGTTCTGGTGACATTCTCAGACTTCCAACTCACACCAGTTCTAGAGGCGATCAAAGCTTCAGGTGTCCCATGTCCTAAAACAAAACACGGGCTGCCAGTTCACTTCAAATTCAATAATTCTGCCTTGTTTGCACAGAACCAATCATCTGCTGCTGCTGACTCCAGTGGAGAGGAGGTAGATGAAGGCTTTGATCAGATGTTCTGGGAACTGGGGGCACAAAGCATGAAGAGGTTCTTTGTTGCTTTAAATAAGATAACAACCAAAAGCTTGACAATGACAAAGGAAGTCCTCAGAGAAAGAAATCAGCTCCAGATCTCAATTGGAAATGTGCAGAAGCGGGTTAAAGAAGGGTTAGCCAAGCTTGAGACGATTAATGAGACAACTGAACAACTTAAACTGCATGAAGCAGAGATCAGCAGAAATGAGACATTTGAGATTGAAGTAGTCGTCATGAGGCCTTTTAAAGAAGATATATCTGGCTCTGGAACCTTCATCACCAACTGTCAGGTGTGTCATGTCACCTGTCACTATCCATGTCCATATGCCAATGATGAAGATAAAAGAAAGTGTCCTGCAATGGGACCAGATGGAAACTGTACTCAGTGTCCAGGAAAATGTCATTGGAGTCAACATTTTAACCAGAAGTTCAGATGGGAGTATAAGGAGGTTAAAGAAAGGCAAACATTGGATGATCTGAAAGAAAAGTACCTGAAGGCCTCAAAGGCTAAGGGAACTGTTCAGGAAGTGATCAACCAAATGAAGGCTGAATATAAGCGTCTTCAGACTGGACTGAGGGAGATAATGGAGAGAGCTGCTGAGTGTCTGAACAGACTAGGAGAGATCGCACTGAGGCCAAATCCTCTCTCCACTCCAGAGTACATTGACCTGCTGATTGAGGGAGAGAAATCTGAGGCCAAGTCAGGCTGGAAGCAACGAGTCGAGTACCTGATGGAGATGAGAGGACAAGAAGAGCTCATGGGTAAAGCAAGGAGAGGAGAACACCTGCTTTAAAGTGAAGAATCTTTAACTGAGGGCAAAATCAAGACCAGCTCCAACTGAGACCAAGACAAGAGCTGAACATGATATCAAAGAAGAGACGTGTAAATACACAATTAAACAAGACAGGATAGTGAGTGATACTGATCAAGAGTCCTTGATGGCCAACACAACCAAGTGACCATGACACAAATGTTCATGGGACATGTATGTTTTTTATTCTGTTCTTACAAAGTTATTGTTTAATTGTTTTTTTTATCATGAAAGATTACATTTTTTAAAGCAAGATGGTTGGTCTTGAAGAAATGCTGAAGCAGCAGCCGAGAGAAGCTCCTCCAGAGTCCACAGTGATCACAAATCCTTTGGATCAAAACCAAACCAAGACCAAACAGATGGCAGCAAGACCAAGAGGAGATCTATCAACAAACTGGAAGACGTCTGTGTTTTTATATCTGAGATGATCTCACCAACCCTGGGACCCATCTACTTCCTGTTTGGCATGTGTGTTGCTATGGACCAGGGGGAGGTGCTGCCCCGTGTGAGGCTGTTTGGATCAGAGGTTCTGTAGGAATATGAGAGAACCCGGTCCACCCAGCGCTGAGGTGGAATGCAGTTCAAAGTGAAATGTTGGACTCTTTACTTCACCACTCTACTCTTTACTCTTCTGCATCGGGTACCTTTACATTTATTACTATAGCTTCATTTTGATTATACTTTTACACACTTTTACCTGTGTGACATTTTGAATGCAGGACTTCTACTTGTAACAGTATCTATACAATGTGGTATTATAACTTTAACCAAAGTAAAGCATCTGAATACTTCTTCCGTCACTGATACAACACATGAAGTCCAAATAGACCCGCACTCAGAGCTCTAGTGTTAATCAATGAATTACAAAGCTTTATTGTTCTCCTGCACAAACATCTCCCTGCAGGAGCAATCTGCATGTTCTGTTTGACAGGAAGTAACATGTACCATGTGCATGAAATGTGGAAGTGTGATTGTTTTGTGCAGAAATCATTAACGTCCTGACACCATCACCACCAATTGAAAAGATTAAACCTGCAAGTTTATTAAAAGTGATGTTTATTTTCTATTATGATCATTTACAAATATCAGATTATTGCTAAATGTTTTTTCTGCTCTTCATGTTATTTCCTTTGAGATGTGTAACTCTACGTGAGTTTTGTTAATGATGGATTGTATTTCTGAGTGTCCTGAAATGATACGGTGGCTCCTGCTGGATGATGGAGACCTTTCTAAACGTTAAACAATAACTCAGACTAATGTCAAGTTTATTTTAATCAGAACAACAGATATGAGAATAAGGAGATTAAAGAAGATCTATCAACAGCTGAAGGGAAAAAGTATAACTTTTAAATCTTGTATTTTTCACAAAGTTTTGAATTTATTTCCATTGTAATCGTTTTATTCTGTTGTTTCAGCTTCCTGCTTATTTTAACATTTTTATTTACTATTAGTTTAATATTCTTTGAGTTGTATTAACATTATACCTGATACTGATTATTGATTAACATTTACTGAAAGATGGAGAAAAACCTTAATAAACAATTATTAAATGTTGTTACGCCTGCTTCTCGTGTGTGCTCTATAGGTGTCAGTGTGTATCAGTGCATGTAAATGGTCTGCAAAAATACATTTTTGAATCCAAACGTATCAAATAGTTTCTTGTTAATGTGACGGTGTGGTGTAGGTAAGAGTTTGTGTTGCCAACAACGCCACCTAAGGGAGTTTCACCCCTAGGAACTAACTATTGATAATAAAAGAACACAGGTTCGTTTTACATAACGGGCCAGAGACAGTTTCAGTTACAGTTAACACAATTACTTTATTTTATAACAATCAATTAACTATTCTAAAAACACCATGATACACATTATACAATCAGCTAAAAGTTAATACTGGGACATAGGAGGTACAAGACAGGGCTGGGGCTTACCAGGCGGCAATAAATTAAAAAGGGGGAAGGGTCCAACTCAAAACCACCCGTGACACCGCAAACCAAACAACAGGACTCGTGAAGAACACCACCACCAGGGATTGGGGTTGCCGCCTCAGGCCCACAGCACCTGTCTGACAAGAGGAAGACGGTTAAAACCTGCACACAGTATTACACTTAAATAAAACAACTAAATAATTAACCAAACAAATACAACCAAATAAATTAACTTATCCAAACAAAGTCTGTATGCAATGGTCAATGTTAAAAAGGAAAACACTAGTATATAGAGTGGCGAAGTCACGCCCATCTACTTCCGCCCCATGGGACCTTATTTCGGAAAAATAATGTATTGAAGTCAATGGAGAGTATCTTTCGAT